GAGGGGCACTGTCACACAACCTTTATGCAGGTTACTTGTATTACAGGAGTTCCTAAGAATTTTTTTTTTTCTAGAGAGTATCACCGACAAAAGCATTTGCAAGCAGCACTCTCATTGCCAAGACATTAACAGCATGTGGTTGAATGTGGCCCAGATTCCACTTCAAAAATGTACTCGACTCCAGATGCATTGATCCGCTTTGTTGTGTGTGTGATACATACCGCACAGAGATGAACACAAGTACACAAGGGCATTTATTTTGTGGTGGGACAACAGGAGGGACCAGGCCGCCATCAGCAAGTCCAGGAGCTGCGCTGGGCCATGCACACACCTGAACTGGGAACACGTGTTGAACAGCCACGGTTCTCAACCCAAGCTGTACAGATCCATACCTACTTGTAAGGACTCTGCAGAAGGTCTGCCAGAAATCCTGCACTCTATACGACACCTTACCTCCCTGCAAGACTTTAGGTGAACGTAATTGTGTAAGAGCTTGTTTGGCTGACAGTGTACATCAGGGCACATGGCAGACATACAAGAAATACTGATTCACATTTCCTAGATATACTGGCAAAAAGACAGTTTCATCTTCCTGTGAGTGTCAGAAACACACTGTGGCAACAATCACAGGAGAACAACGTGCACTGTAACACTAAGTTGTACCACAGATGTACAGTGCAATGACCGTGCATTTTTAACAACACCCTCTCAGAGTACGGCAAAGATTATGCCACAGCAAAATCCAGTACTATGGATTTAGAAACAGAGCAAGCAAATTGCCTGCTCCCATACATCTCATCAGAGGAAAGTGTGTTTTAACACCAGAGGGGGATGCTGCATTACAACCAGAATCATGCCAGAGGACAGCATGACAGAAATTAGCAGGGGGGCTTCCACTGCAGCGTGCAGTCAGTCCTACCTCTGTTTTAAACCCACTCCACCTTTAACCAGCAAATTACCACTGTGATTGCAATGTAGTGTACAAACAGATGCAGTAAGTACTGTACCTGTTAGGACAGGTAAACTGCTTGCCATAAAGCGCAGCTATTTTCTGATTAAAACGAGGCCATTATTTCCATTACAACCAGAGCTGATAATCTAATGGATGTACCAAGTAAAATGATGTCTTCTTTGCAGCTGCAGTGTTGAAACAGCCTGCAGTGTATGCAGAGTCTGCGTATCACTAAGACAGGCATAAAGCAAAACCCACAAACCTTTGAGAATCTGCAAGTCGACATCTTATGGTTACTTTGCACTTCCTTGAAAGACAGCAATGGTTCTGAGAGGACAAAAAGCACAAAACATATCTGGCACTTTTTATGACATTCTCAACACAGTTCTTAAAAATTACTGGACCAATCTCCCAGTCAGCCCTGCAAGGCAGGTACTGTGGATACTGCTGGCATTAAACAGGAGGGAAGGGAAAGGAGAACAGCAAAGACATTAAGAGAAGAAATGAACAGAGAAGAATCCTGCGATCAGTTTAAATATCTAGAGTGCTGAAAAATAGCATGTTTAGAGAGGAATTCACCTGAGCAGTGTTAGCCCCCTAGAGGTTAGGCATCTCTAGGCTGCCCGGTCATAATAGGAGGCGCCTGCCTCTGCAGGACAAGGTGTGCTGCCCTACAGCACACACCCAATAAGCATCTATTATAGGATGGCAGGACAGAATACAAGAAACTAGAGCTGCCTAACATTTGGAGAGGTGAAATAAGTCCTAACCATCAAGCTACACGATTAGAGAGCCTACGAACCATATCTGAGCTGTTTTAACCTCTGTCCTTCTGTATAGTGAAATCGCTTGCACAACAGGTTGAAGACTTTTCATTCTAATTTCAATTGACTCCAAAAAATGAAAGCAGAGTGCTGGAAAAATGGATTTCTACCCAAAAAAAAAAAAAAAGATGAGGAAGTCCTAGTCATTTCCTCCTGCACTTGCAGTAGCACTTTGAGTGATGAAAGTACGTGCGGAGGCTGGTTGATGTGGGAACACACAGCCCACGTGCACCACGTGCTCATGCTCATCGTGCATGCCAGCAGAAATGATGGGAGACAGCATTTCTAATTAGCTTTTAAAATAAGCCTGCTATGACTAAATTGCAGCAGTGGTACCTTAGAAATTTAGTAACTGCTTAATTTCCATAACATTAAGGTGTTCTTATTACTCCATTCCTAGATAATTGCAATTACTAAACTAAAAGATGAGCAAACTAAAAAAAAAAAAAAAAAAAAAAAGGAAAAGAAGACACCTCCAAACCCTCCTCCCACACCTGGTACCCTAAAACCTCTAATTCATAGCAAACACCTTGGATATCAAAAGGTAACATGCCATAAAGTGAACAGATCTTACTCTGAATTAAAATTCTGTGCAAGGAGGGAGTAATAATGAGAAGTATTATACTTACGGAAGTCAGGAACATACGTCAAGATGAACACAGCCCTGATGATTAATGGATGACAGAGTGGCCAAAGCCACTAATTAGCTGACACAGAACGGGGGAAAAGAGTTGATGCATGAACAAAAGCAACATCTACAGAGACAGAGAAACTGCTTTGAAAACTGCTGGTGAGGAGCTACATGGTGCAGACGATCTTCTGTGGCCAATGGGACAATTTAAGGACACACAAGGTACAAAGTTGTTTTACTGAGGTGGTAACTTGCAGAGCTTTATGTAGATATAGAAGGCAAATTCACTCACACCATTTATGTGGAAGGTCAAGACAGTCTCCATTTCAATATGAAGAGCGCCTTGATTAGACTACAACAGGCAGTGGCTACAGCAGTTCAAAAGGTGGCCTTGTTCAAACACCTCCTGCTATTAAAGCAGTTGCCTTTTGAGAGGAATAACTGTGAGAAATAACTGGCAAAGAGAACATGAAAAATTCCATTAGGTCAATGTGATGTAAACTGAAGATAACATTTTACCCACTGTATTCAGCTATTTTCTTCCCCCAGTCCCAACATCAGGTATGAAGTTAACTGGTTGTCCTGGGCTCTGGTGTCAAGTGGTGCAATCCAGGAACACCAGCTGATGACCTCTGCCACCAGAAGGCTTCAGATCTCAGCTGTGCCAAAATGAGATCCCAGCATTACTTCAGTCAGTACTTCTGACCAGGGGCAACCTGAGTTCCCAAGGGTATTCTGCTCATCTGGTGTTGTCACGGTGCAACCACTGCTCTGGCAGTCTCACTGCATACGATAAATGGGTAAGAGTACCCTAGGAGAGGTTTATGTGGAAGCATAAAACCCTTCCTACTAAACCTATCAGCAGCACCACAATTTCAGAGTGCTATTCAGAAACACTTTAGAGGAGAAATCTTCCATCCTACAGACCTCATATAAAGTGGAGAAAACAGACTGACAGAGAAAGATGCTCGTACAGGTCGGTACAAAATATCTTACTGCCTGTGCGGTACGGATCTCCTCTGGCAATTTGCCACCACACAGCAACACACGAGAGGCTGCTTAACCAAGGGCAGTGGCAGCTGGTGCAGCGTTACGTCCCAGCTCTGCCTTCTGGGCTCACAGACGAGCACAGCCAGCATAGTAAGCAAAGGCCAAGGACGTGAAACTCAGAATGCCAAACCAAATGAATCCTAAGCCGTCACTGCTGGAGAGCTCTTTATAAGCCTCTCATGTTCCCCTACTTCCATCACTTGCTAAAAACAGGATCACTCTCTGAAGTTCAGTGGTGCATTAACAATAACTTCTTGCATTCATATTAGCCTCTCAGTGCAGAGTGGGGAGGGAACAGAAAAAGAGCATTGGCCTTTCTGAAGGTGTGAACTTCTCCTTCGCCAGACAAGCCTGAGCTTATTTAGACTACCTTCAAGCCTGCCTTCCAAACCTATTCAACTCTGAAAAAGAGAAACCAACACCAGTAAGTCACACAAAAATCTATAGATAAAGCAGCTGGCAAATTAACACAGCCTAGCAGAAAATTCAAGATAAAAATAAGTACTATCCTCACAAAATCACCCTTCAGGAAAAAAAGCAAGGCAGTTAGCTCAGACAGAGCATCACAACCAGAGACAGCTTTAACAAATGCCTAGGTAGGTTTAGTAATCTATTTTAATCCTACTGACTTCACTGAGATTTAAACGTTGGCTCATTTATGCATGCTTAACTTTTAAAGTGCTTTGCTGGATAGGGGCCAAAAGGAAACACATGCCTCTTACAGCTCATCCATAAGCAGTGGAATGTTTCACCCTTAACACCAACGATCAGAACAGTTAAAGCAGGTCCAAAAGGCAGCAACACCTCGAGAAAATGCATTTCCATCACCACCCCCTTTTGAAGTAGGACTCAGACAATAAAGACCTTCCCCACAGACCCTACTGTCGCAGGTCCTTCGTCAGACGACGTGCAGAGGTCTCCTCCCAACCTCTACAGTCCCGTGACCTTTTCTTTTCCACGTTCAAACACAGTTACATTTCAAGCATCTCAGGTATTGATCTCCAAAGGTTGGAGCTGGCCCACTGCCAGCTTTAAGCCGTGCCCCGAGACAGCTCCTCGTGCCCAGCACTGCTGCTCCTGGGAGCCCATCCCATGTCACCAAGGTCAGAGCACACCTGCAAATGAGCACACAAATACAGCCAGCGAGTCCTTTGCCTTCTAGACAGCTTTTAAGGTTTCAAAACAACTTTATCTGCATTTCTCATGAAAATGGACAAAATACTGCTGAAACTAGCTGGGATGTCTCTGTGAGGTGATGGAAAAACATCACCTCATCTTAACCAGCAGGCAGGTTGAGACAGCAGAAGCTAGAAAGCATAGAAAAGTGCAAAAAAAAAATCCTCTACTACTAAGTGCATAGTTTGAGAAACCTGTACAGGACCAGGGTGCAGGTGTGCTCAACCTGAATTGAAGCTCACAAATCAGATTTGCCCTTCTCGTTAAGAAACAGAAACTTTTTCTACAAAATGCATTTTTAATGGAGTTTTGTTGACTTTTTTTTGTCGTTGTTTTTAAATTGGAAGAAGTAGGACAATACAGCATCTACATATGCACAGATACATCTTGTGGACAACAGTTTATTTCAAGAATAAGAAATAAAATAAGTTTTCATAGTAATCAGAAAATTGTGACAACACATTGACTAAATATTACAGTACCGGAACATTTCTCAAGCTATACTTTCAATTTATAAGTCATTTACACAGGATAATTAACACACAGGTACATCTCAATCCTCAGTAAATAGGTCACTATTTAATACCCTCCAAAAGAGATATCAGAAACTCAAGCTCATTTGCAGATTACCTCAAGCATGGCTGTCATTTTGGAAATAACTACATTAATTTCCACATATATATATCCACTTTTCAGTGCAAATTAATTCGAAGATCAGCAGATCTAGTTAACAATGCTGTTAATAGCCCAAGCAGAGCCCTCCCTGAGCATCCAGCCAACACGCCAGAGGATTGCAGCAGAAGGTGCCGTTCTCAACTGAAGATTTAAGCTGGTTTGTCCATCACATCAATAGAACAAAATTTTCAACTTTTTTTGCTACCTACTTAATTTTTCTAAAGTAAAGTATTATTTCATGATGAGGGTCCTAATTAAAGCAATGCTACTTATCAGTGTTATCAAGGCAGGAGAGATTACTGCCTGTATCTGAAACCTCTCTTTAACAGAGGTTTTCTCTCTGTAACCTCACACCCTCGTATTTTCATGATTTCAAAGTATCAAGTCTTTTAAAAAACTAAAAAAACAAACAAACACGTCAAAACCTTTTAAAAAACAACAACAAAAAACTTTTAAAAACATCAATTTTCTCACAGTCTTCCCCAAATACACATAGGCAGGTAACAGATTTCTAGGTATTCTAAAACAAAACATTAGAAAAAAAGTGTCTTTTTGATTAAACTATTCAACCTGAACAAGCAAAAACAGTTCACTAAGCAAAACTGTCCTTTCCTGGACACAGACCAAAAGAATCTGTGTTATCTAAAAAGATAACAGCTAGTCCAGACGAGTTCCATCTGTTCCCTTTGGTCAACGAAGTAGTAAAGCACCATATGGAAGTAGCTCATTTGCCTCTTAGTACAGGATCACCTGCCTTCCGAAGGTGCCTATACCTCTGCATTGCATAGGAAAATTACAGGTTTTAAAAGCTCAAGGCCCTGGAAGCCTAGCTTGCTTTTGGCATCTAGCCCATGGAGAGATTAACTCCACCTTTAAGCTCCAAAGCAAATGCACACACATAGAGGCTGCAGGGAAACAGGCAAGATCTCAGGCCCTGACTTGAAGGCATTGGCTCTCACCTTCTGCTTTACACGTTTTATGTTTGTGTATGCTGGAGTCGTTATCTTGGGCTTTCATAGTTATTGGTTAGACTTTTCCTTTAACCTTTTTATTTGAAAGAACATGAATTCATTTGGCTCAGAAAACATTTGAGTAGTTCTTTGGTTGTTTGTTCTTTTAAAATCACCACAAGAAAAACACCGGCTGATATCCAGAAACACCATCCCGCTACTTCAGCCTGAAGAACCTCAAAATTTTCACTCATCTTGCCCGTTCCCTTTCAGCCTTCAGTATATTTTACTGCAGGACTACCTATGCAATACTTTGTTTGCAACAAACAGGTACTTTTCTCCCTGACATTTCCATTTAGTGTTCCAGAACAGAAAAGACCACCTATCCAGCAACTAGCTCAGTAAAAATCTTGTGTGTGATATGAGACAAAAATTATCTTGAGAACAATCCACCACAGTAAGAACCTGATTTTGCATCCTCTGATTATTTGTAAGCTAGTATTCTCTCTCTGAAAGCGATGTTAGTTTATTAGGTCAGTTCCTCTTCTCATCCTCACCTTTTGCTTTCCTTGCACAGCTCAGCATCTGTCAGTTTCTGCCAAACACTGGCAGAAGCGTACATGCAAAATGCAGTAAATGCTGATTATTAGCTAGATCCAAAGGACAGGAATGTCAGTGATTGATCTTAATATATACATGAGGAAGAAAAGAAACTGGAGTCTTCAAGGAGACATTCTTAACACTGCATATTAAAACACCACATCTTCACTTCTGTAAAAGCTCCCCCTTCGTTCAGTTCATTTACTTCATGTGTCACCTTATATACTCAACAGCAGGTTGTTACAACATCCTAACACATAAAACTTCACTGTAATGCAGTATGTAAAAAGAAATCCCTGGATCCTAGACAACTGAAAGGTGGAAGAGAGAAAAATATTATTTATCATTTGGGGGGGAATGGATTTTTAAAAATCACATTAAATGATAGAGAACATGGAAATTCATTTTCCTACTTAAGTCTATCAACATTTTTCCCACTAACAGCTAGGCATGGGTTGTTTCTTTTTTTTTTTTTTTTTTTTTTGTATAGGATGAGCAGCTCCTCTCTAAAAACAGAGTATTTATGAAGCATATGTTTACAGTAAATCTTGTAACTCCAGAAGGTACTGGAGGAAAAGCAGCTGGGAAGTTCCAAGGCCCTACTATCAAGAGAAACTCTGACATGATAACCAGGATTATACGTATTCTGCATCTGAAACAGTAAGTTTCCTGCCAGAGATGTATGGTTGCCTGTGTTCATTAGTTGCCTGACAGCCATATCATGGAATATGATACTTGAGTTTGTGTTTTTGCATGTATCAAGCTTCTAACGGTAGGACAAAAAAAAAACACATGCCTTTTCATTCCTAAGTCTATCAGTCCAGTTTTGTTTCCTTAGATCCTAGAAGTTTTCCCTGAGAGCAGTATGAACCAACACCCATCATATCCTCATTCCCAATACCACCTCTAGACTCTCCGGTCCCTTTGACTCAAAGTCCCCAAAATCCAGAAGATGGATAGGCAGCGTGGAAAGTCCATATCCAAAGATGATATCTGGTCTGTTCTGAAGACATCACAGCTACTGCTGCTTAGAGAACCTAAGGCTGTCAGAAAGGAGGAATTCCAGTTCAACAGTATCATCTGTAGTCTCTACTGGCACATTACATTTTTGTGCAGGGGATTGGTAATTCTGTACTTCATGTCTTGAAGCTAATATTCTTGAAGTCCCATTGCAAGAACATGCCTCCGGTTGTCTAACGCTGTCTGAGCAAGTACGGTTTCCATGGTAAATGCCTGGGCAGGAGTTTGGTTGGCAGTGACTAGGGAAGTAGTAGTTAGTTGCCACTGGACTTGATTCTACTTGATTGTGAAAAGGATTATTAGTCACACAACAGGTCTGGAGGCAGTTATTTTTGAATCCATGATGGAGGCCTAATTTAGCAATAAGGGGCTTCCCAACATTAACTTCCTTTCTTTCATCCATTGTATCTTCTATTCCTGGATATTCATAGTGCAAACAAACCGTGAAGATCAAGTGTTCCTACAAAACAGAATGGGGGGGGAAGGTTATACTTCTCTAAATAAGCCAAATAGGAAAAATTTCAAGAAGCATAATCTACTAATGGAGGAGGAGACCAATCTATTTTAGGAGCTAAAGCCACGTATTAGTCAAGTCTTAACCACGTTAGTTACATGCATGCTGCTTGAAAGATGGAGGTTCTCGACTGATGTGTTAATATTCTTAAGAACTCTGTGGGATTGCAAAAAGCAATCTACTCATCATAAAGTTTTTTCTGCAAACTCATATTTCATGCTAATTCAAGGTTCAGTTTCCCTCTACTGGTTAAAATGTAGGTAAACCACATCAGATGTCCCTGTACATGACATGCAGACAGGATTTCTCAATTATGTTGCAGGCTGGATGCCCAAGATATGCTGCAGGCCAGAAAGTTTTATTTTCTATTGTTGCAGGTAACACGACAACAAAAAACCTCCCCTGTTGCCCACTCCTCCGAACATTTTAGAGAACAGAGTAAAATTAAACTTTGTCCCCTTTACTGGCTAAGGACACCTCAGAACTTTACTGAAGACCTCCTGATCTGCTTAATACTTGTCCACCTGACAGTCTTTATTTCTAGAAGCATTTTTATTACAACACCTGCCAGAAGCATTTAAGAAAAGATACCTAGCCATGTCCAGATAAGATGTTCATAAATAAAAGATACAAAAGATAAACTTAACAGTGCCACAGTATGCTGAAGTGAGAACCTTTCAAAAGCCTCATCCAAGAACACAACTTGGAATAGAAATATGTAACATTTTTATCTCCTTCTCATAACTGTAAGATGCAGCTATGTTTCAGGTCACACTCTTACTGTACTACAAGGCACAGGAACATTTCCACAATGTGCACAAGATGATGATCATAAAAATAATCATCTTGTCAAAGTTCAGCACAATCCTAGAAAATACAAAGTGCCTTGCACAATGGCATTGGGATTGCACATGCATTGATTCTCTGGCTTTTATTTTACAGTGGAGGAACTAGTTATAGTCACTAAGTGTTGCTGTTAGTCATTCTCCCTTCTAAGTAGCCAGGATTTAAATCTGGTATGTTGCGTATGTCTCCAGAACCTGTTACCTACCATGCAAACAATACACAGCCAACCCAATAGAACTGCAAAGCAACATGATTAATCTATGCTATCTGAACAAACTTGCGAGGAACAATTTATATTAACCCTTAGTTTTTGGAGTGAACTTAGCCTGGTGTAGAGGCAGTGTTTGGGAAGGTCCTTTGATACTAAATAGCTTCCAGTTTCCTCAGGAGTTCCTTTATTGGCCTCTTTAGGATCCACATCCAGGTCCTATTGCAAGAAAGAAATGATAACTCATCTGAAGATACAGAACTTGTAGATCATAGAACAGTTAGGAGCATTTATTTTTATGAAGTCAACATTTGCTTCTTCTTAAAAGGAAAGAACACCCATCTTGGATTACTTGCAAAAGCTGCTGAAGCCACTATTAGTCACAGGCAGAAGAGGTTATTTATTTAGGTTACCCTCTTCTGCTGATGATTCCTTTGAAATCGGCTGAAGTACAGTACCGTAACAGCAATTCTGTGGGCTACAGACACATCTTTATTATGCACATTAACTGAAATGTTTTCTTCACCAAGCATCAAAAGTGTTCTGTTTATTAAACACCAGAAAAGGTTTCCTGCACCTAAGGAACTTTCAGTTTTACTCTTATCCTTCACCTTACTGCACTGAGCTGAGTAACATCAATGGAACCAGAAAGATCACACAGCTGTAAAGAAAACACTAAATTCTAAGAAACCTTGTATTGCAAGGTAGATGTGCCGTAGGCCCAAAAAGAAGCTATTGACATTTAACTCACTCAATTAAATGTAACTACCTAATGTTATAATGACAATAAAAAGGTGACTTTGAAAAAGATGACCACATATAAAAATATGTAAAAATGTGTCGCTGTATATGTACAGAGACAGTCATGTAAGCACCTGGTTTCAATATTTTAGATTCACTTTATTACAAAAGGTGCAGTTTGACATGGACAGACCTGACAGTTTTCAGCTTCAGAGGAGGGAGATCACACCAAGACACCTACAGAAAGCACTTACAAGTGCGAAGTCTGTAACGTAGGCTCTGCAAACTACTATTTCAGGTGGCTTCTTTACTATTCGTGTGTAGATTATCATGACATTGGAAAACTCGGCTGCAAACCCCAACTGAATCTGAACACCACATTTGAATTCGAGATACATACTTTCTGGAAGCTCTGCAAGTAAACAACACATCATTACATTCTAAATAGAAATATGTATTTTCTATTATTACTCTTTGGGAATATTAAAGAACTTTAGAAGATACAGACCTTTTCCTTGTGTACTCCCTCTACCTATTGCTTACATAGTCACGCAGAAGCAACTCTTAGAAGCTAACCTGGCAGCAGTATTGTTTACTAGATGCAGTATCAGAAGGTAACTGACTAACATTGCCATAGAGCTGACTTTTCAACTTCTTTCCAATCTTTCAATTCCAAGCTTTCTTTCCAAACACCATGCAACTAGCAAGGCAACATCTAATGCTACATACATAGAATATTGACCCAAGAATATGTTTATGTATCTGTAATCAAATCAGTAAGGTTAATACAGTATCCTATATTCAGGAGACACAGAGATAGCTTTATAATAAACTTTGAATGTGACAGCACGAAAAACTTCAGGTTCACAACACAAAAAATTCTAACATCTGAACACACTAATGAAAATCAAGATATGAACTTGAATTTCTTCAATTTCTATTCAGAATTATGGCTTATGGACTAGAGATTATAAAGAATGTACATCCTCTTATTTTCGAGGGAACTATTTTAGTTCTAGTGATGTAACATCCTAATACGACATTCCCACCATTCAAGTAGTATCACCTAAAGGTAGATCATACCATACCATGAGCTTTAGCCCACTGTAGGTTCCGTGCCATAGACTCTGCAGAAGATATGGTTTGTTGAATGGGATCAGTTAATGCCCTTTTCTCAGACAAACTGCTGCGGATCTCCAAAGCTTGTTTGCCTTTGGTAAGGTGACACTTGCCCATATCTAAAAACAAGATGCATAGTTTCTCTCAAGATCATTGCTGCTGAAATTCTAAATAAATTGACTATACAATGTAGCAGTGGCATAGCTGCTATGGTTATGACAGTATGAACACTTTGATACAAACTTGTAGTTTCAGAAGTATTCCTTTCAGTTATTTATTCATAAGATGTTGTGGATTAACCCTGGTAGATGGCCAAGCACCACACAACTGCTTGCTTACTCCCTCCCTCACCCACTTCCAGTGGGACAAGGGAGAAGGAAAAGAAGCACAAAAGCAAGAAAGCTTGAGATAAAAAATAAAACATGTTTGATAAGGGAAGGAGAAGTGGAAAGAGGAAAAAAAAAAAAAAAAAGAAGCGATACAAAGGCACTCACTTACCACCACCCCTGTGTAGACTAATGCCCAGCCAGTTCCCAAGCAAAAGATAGCTAACTTTCCTAAACCTCTTCCTCCCTCTTATTGCTAAGCGTCACTGCACATGGTATGGAATATCTCTTTGGTTAGCTCAGGTCATCTGCCCAGTTGTGTCCGCTCCCCACCTCTTGCACACCCCTGAACCTATTCACTGCGGAGCAGAGTCAGGAACAGAGAAGGCCTTGATGCTGTGCAAACACTGTTCCTCATTTACATACAGCACTTTTAATGTGAGTATCACCAGTGTACCACTGCACTCACTAATACCCAGCATCTGGTAATACTCACAGCAGTTGTCTCATTGCCTGACGTGATTTTTCCTCATGCTACCAGATGCACACACACAAGCTGACTGAAACAACCAGTGCAGACACACTTCTTTTGAGCAGCTGGAACTCTCAAGCAGTGGGAACACTATGTACTGCGTTTGTATTTTGTTTAGTGCAGTCCTCAGATCTTTTAGAGGTTGCCAGTTCTATTTCTTAACACAGGACTTATCTGCCTTCTATATTATCTCCCTCCTCACCCTCCTGTTTACTTGTTGGGAGAAGGACTTCCACCCCAAATTCCAACAGAAGCTGCCATCATGCTCTCCTCTGTGAAATCAGTCTTTGCACTCTAAGCTCAAGCATGAGATAATGTCACACATCAGGATATCTACAGCATGGGACATTAACCTGAAAGCACAGACTGAGCAGTAAGAGACACAACATCTGGAGAAGTACAGGGAAAACGGATGGAGGCAGAGCTAAAGTAGTGTAACATTTGCCATGAGAAGAATGACAGTTAAGCAAATAAGTTTTTAGTAAGAATTGACTAGTGTAGTAAGCTGCAATTCACCTTCTGCAACCTCATCAAGCAGTACAGTAATCTTTTTGTCTTCTAACAGACGCTCCTTCAAGAACTTCATGAAAATTCCATTGGCCAGCCCTGACTGCTGAATCTCAAAAGCTTCTGCTCCCTGGCACCTACAAGATAACCAGTGACAAGGGGAAAACAAAACAAAACACAACACACTGCAACAGCCGTGTGACTAAGATCGACATGAAGGCAAAAGGAATAACATTTGGGAATGGGAGAAAGAAGCCCTTATACAGCAGGTTTATGGTCAACCTGCTCTTCATTTGCAAGCAACTCATCCTGGGAAGATTTCACTTACAACCAAGCCATAGACCAGAGGCAATATTAGCTGTTTATGTGAGAGGCTTGAAATGCTCATGGAAGACTTCACTAAAGCTCTTGACTATTTCTGTTCAATAGGTATTTCACACCATTTGAAAACTAATAGCAAGAGGTTATACAGATATCTGCAAAGTAACCTCTTCAAGTAGCTTCATTTGCAGGTGTAACTATGTGTTACACCTAGATGAAGCAAAAAAAGCAGGGACAGTCTATATGCCACTCTTCTAAAAACTGATTAATTTGTCTTATATATACGTATACATTTTTTAATATAAATTTAACTTGCATTTGCAGAGGAGACATAACTGCAGAGGGTATAGTAGGTAGGTTAAAGTTAATCAGTCCCTCAACAGTACGTGACTTCCTATACAAGTGCACAGACTGGTAAGCATCATTAGGAACACACAAGACAAAACTCCCACTTCCCCATCAGCACAAACATTATAGGCTTGAGGGTAAAATTTGCTTTTTCATTCTGTGTGCTTTTAAAATCTCTAATAAATAGTATTCAGATAATTAGAGAATTCCTACAAGTAGCCATTAAAAATAATCAGAAAAATTGTCCAGTAGTTTCTGATTTGCTGAATGCAGTTCTCTCACTGGCATTCCCTTACACCTGAATAGGAACATTAAATACCAGGAATACATATGGATATCCATGATCAGTAGACCATGGAATCGTTCAAAGAATGAAGTCAAAAAGGTAGTCTGAGGATACAGATACCAATACAAGTTATCAGTCCCTTAACAGAACAGTTGGTATTTTCTGTAAAAGATTAGCTACACAATCTCAGTGATATCTTCTGGCTTCAAAATATCTGCAGCACAGCAGGAGAAAAGTTTCCTTACGTGGCGTATCCAAAAACAATGTTGGCTGTAACCTTCAGAGCATCTAAGATAAGTATAGTATCATCATATTCATTTCTGCAATAAGAGGAAACAAAAGAATATTTTGAGAACTAATAATAGTAACCAACTCCATAGTTGTTCAAAATACCAAACCAGCATAGTTTAGAAACATTATTTTTCTCCCACAGTTCTAGTCACTCCTTCTAGACAAAAGCAGCACCATCAACACTCTCCATGGAGAGAATTCAAAGAGTCAGTCAAACATCACGTTAACTATACGAGGGAATGATATATTAAGCAATACAGTGCCAGTTTGGCTAAAATCTCTGCAAAAACATCTTGTAACTAGCCACTTTAGGTTATAACATAAACTATATTTATTCTGTCTTTTAAAACATGGTGGTGTCCGCACAGTTAACATGAGGCTTATGTAGCTAATCGCACAGCAGATTGTGAAGCTGAATTGGGTCACTGCCATTTCATTAGCAGTGAAGTTTAAAAGCTCCACAAACATTAAAGCACTAGCAATTTTCCGTTATGAAACATTCCATAAAGACCAAATTCAGAGGTGCTGACTGAAGAGCTAATTTCAAGTGCAAGTTTAATAGGGCATAGTATTCTCTGAACATGTCAAGAAAATAGTACTTTGTTTAGAAAAAATTGATGAGCCAGTTGATTTTTAATTTCTAAATAAAGATACAACATCCCCAGCATAAAAGCAGTCCACTAAATTCATGCCTCTTAAGAGTTCTAAAATAACTACTTCACTTGAGCCCTTCTGTCAAATTAACATGCCTTTGATCATATGGATTCTCCTTCCTTCCTGTAATGATAAAGATGGTTAATGATGCAAGGGGAGAAGGGTCATTCTTCTTCTTTAAGATGCCTAATTTCACTTTTATCTAGTCACACTGATGCTTTATAATTTTTAAACCACCACCAAAAAAAAAAAAGGGAAGAAAAAGATGTAATTCAAATCAAGAGGCAAGCATCTGCACATGGAAATGGAAAGTCTAGTCCCCAGCTTCATATATCCATCCAAGGCCAAAGACAAAATAAGCCTATGAATAAATTCTATTGACTTTAAAAAAAGCTCAGGTGCACGCCACAGATTTTCAGAACCAGGAATGTTCGAGAACAGTGTATACTCAGCCCAGATTAAAGATTTCTCTTAAGCTTGAAGTCCAGCTTTCCCTCAAGATCCTTTGCTATTTTCCCAAAGCAAATGTTCAATTTCATTCATTCATTTTAAAAGTAAGCTGCATTTTAATCTCTTACTGCAGTGAATAAACTGAACTTCACAGCTGGTTCCTGAAACTACTATCATTATACTCTCTCCCCATCTATCACAAACCAGAAACACCCCTCAAACGTTTAACAACACTTCTCAGTATTCATGAACTATTAAACTATACCTTTTCCGACACATATCCAACAGGAATACGTTGAGCCCCGTCTCTTTTTCCTGCATTAATTTGAGGATGTTTTGTACACACAGACAGTTTGCAGATCGGTAGGGATTTGGAGCATCAATAGGAACCATGAAACTGTTTCCATAGTTTTCATAGCCATGGCCAGCATAGTACAACAAACCTGAGAGATCAAACAGATTTAACTGAAAACACAGCTCAAGAGTACACTGCAACATTCCCATCAATTTTAACATGTTAAAAAACTTCATGCACACTATGCGTCTGAGGGAGATTAAGATCCTTCAAGATACTCCAAGTAGTTTTTTTGGTATCACTATGCCTTTGTTAAAACAGGAAGGAAGAGGAGGAGATAAAAAAAAAAAAAAGTAACATCAATTTCACAATGTGCAGAGAAGTTAAAAAAAAAAAAAAACAAAAACAGCAATTTTCAACTCATGAAACAGAATCCATTAGATATTTATATCAATCACACAAATAAAGATAGCTAAATACTCTTAAAGTGTTTTAAGTAGAGTTATGACCTCTAACAGAAATAATCTGTTATCTACTATATATAACTCACAGACATAAGCAAGGAACTGCGCCAACTGTAAAACAGCTTCTCCACATGTGCAACTACAAAGCTTTGTGTAGCTAAGAGTCAGTGCAGATTTTACAGACAGAAAAGATAACCCTGAACAGTTTGGTTGGACTTTTTTTTTTTTTTGTAGAAGAAAAAAACTGCCACCTTTAAAACTATTCTCTTTTCTTTTTAAGCTTACTATTATCATTGGCAAGTCTTAAAATTAGTTTAACAAGAAAGAAAGAAATATGTTTTACACTATGACAGATTTTTTTTTTTTTAATATTTATAGGGAAAAAAGTATTACTCCATGGTTATACTTGATAGGATTCCAGAGCACATCTGTATTACCAAATTACCAACAGCTCTTTTATTTGATGACATTTATATCTCTTCACAGTTGCATGAACCCATAACTCCTGTTATACAAAGAAATTATTTCCTAGACACAGCAAATTATCCTCCAATCATTTTCACGTGTCAATACATAAGGCTACAGTAGTTTTGAAGATTTAAAAATCTTCAAAAAGCACAGATTTAAAGATTTAAAAATCTTCAAAAAGCACACAACAATTTATATAAAGAAAATAAATCATGTAATTAAAAAAGCTTTTTGTAATTCTGAAACAGGAACTACAATCTATAAATTAGATTTAATCCATATATGAATTAAAACATGAAACATTAAGGTCACATCAGTTTGCAGTAAAATTAGGCTATCTTGGAATTAATGACTTCTGCCAAAACATGCCAGAAGCTTGTATTGTTCAATGAAATTTTCCTGTTGTCTGTTTCCAGTGCTGTTTTTGTTTATCAACAAGTTTCATTTTTTAAGAGGAGTTTTTATTTATCTATACAAAGCAGTCCATGGGTCAGATATTCAATTAGTACATAGCACTGCAACTAAATCAAAGTCAGCACAGACATGACAATTTTTGCTAACTGTAGACATGGTCTTGTTATGCCTTTATTCTTACTAAAAGCAGCTGTGAAATTTGTATCACAATAGAACTTGAATATTTACTAAAAACAAGCCTCACCTTAACATACTAAAAGATCAATATTCAAGTCAGCTTGCATAGGTAGGCATGCCACATGCTCTCCCTTTTCATTACTGATAGCTACAGCAACTGAAAATACTTCTCTTGCACAGCCCTGCACGTCCTGTAAAGGAATACCACGATATAACTATATCCCTTCAAACTAAGCCTTGCGTTTTCTTTTACTTTTAAGCTCTCAAGTCATTAGCACCTATGCCAAGACCTTGCTAACTGCTCCATTCAATCAGCAGTGCTCAATTTCTTTTTATGGGAAACTTGCATAGGCAAGATAAGCAGCAAGCAAGTGCATACAAGGTAAACTCCAGAACTTAAGGCTTCACTTCAAGAGCTTAATGGCTATTCACCTACCGAAACACACTGAATATAGAGACGCATGCCGTCTTTTTGCAGTAGAAAAAGTATTGGAAAGGGCAGGAACCCAATGTATCAGAGCCTTTTCCCAATGAATAGGAATATTTCAGAAATAACTACGTTTCTTTTTTTTATTATTTTTATTTTTCCCTTGAGGGGATAACTGCAGCATGTTTTTTTTTTTTTTTTTGCTAAGTACCTTCAACAGTTAATCTGTTGAGCTCAAGATCAGAAATAAACCTCTGCATACCCAGAGTAAGCAAACATGTTTGGAGGGCCTCATTAGACACTTTGGCGCAACAATTTTAAGTAGGCTCAAGTTCCTCACAGACGTCAGCGTTTAAGTGATATCAGCAGCTTTTTTTTTTTTTTTAAAAGAAAAAAGCCAAACTATTTTTAGTCTTTAAAATATATAGGTTCATGCTTTTGTCCTTCGTAGGATAGAATACTAATTGCACATTACATTTAATACAACATAAACTAAGGCATTAGAGGAGACCATCATCATCATGTTGTTTACTAGTCTTGCTCTTAAGGAACAATATCTGAAATGCCAGTTTCCTGGCACTAAGCAGCAATTACCCAATGTCATACTAGGCATCACGAGTATGTGTAACAAGGACTGAGCAGGAGTATCTGCTATGCTTCTGTTTGGAGCTATGCCCACTGAAAATGCAATAAATCATCATCTATTTGTGCCCTGACAGCATCTTTTATATGCTTTAAGACATTAGTAGACACTATCCAGAAAGAACAAAGCGATCACAACGTAGTTATTGTCAAACACTACTGAAAGTACACTCTGCTTTTCTTTCAGAAATATCAACTTGCTAGGAAAATATAACTGCCAAAACATGGCTTATAAGAGCTTTCATATGTTGCTGGTGAGAAACTTGTTAATGCCTTTCAGTACTTTATTTCTAAATTCTTGTCAACAATTACAGAAAAAAAAAGAAGGTGCAAGAATCTAAAAGCTCACTCAAATGCATGAGCCCCTCAGTCCCCCAGGGTAAAAAACCAAAAACAGCTACCAGAAAGTCTACTAAACTTTACTGCCATAATTAGTCCCCATATCATACGAGTTTTGGCTCCGATGTAAATGCCCAAATGTCAGATCATCCAGTTCTGCACAGAGCATCAGGTAACACACCATTTAAAAAGTCATACTAAGAAATAACTTGACCTTGTGTTACAAAAAAGAATTGAACAATGTTTTCTTGTCTGGATATTACTATAAAAATTCTGCAATTTAAACAGTACAATTGGATGAGCTTTCTGATCTCTGTTCTAAAGGATTTCTACAGTTATTTATGCAAACAGCATTTAGAAAAAATGACAAAGATAGGGAGATTCAGCAGCACACTCCTCAGAGCCCACCAAAACAATTTTTTTTTTTTTTTCCCAATTCAAGTTGTGTCATTCTAGGCCTTTTCCACCTAAGGCATCAAGGTTTTTTGCTGAGTGGATCAATTCCATCATGTCCCAGCCAGCACAGCCACTGGTTCCAACCTTGTGCTTTCTCTCTCAAAGTTTATTCATAAATTCTTTGTCTTGCCTAATCATCTAAGAATCAGTGCATACCAGCACAACATGTATCAGACTTGATTGGTTAGTCTTCATCCAAGAAGAAAGCAACTGCTACACAATATGTAGAGGACAGCTTAAAATTCTTATTAATATTATGTTACAGGTATCTTATAAATAAATGTGACTCCAATTAACAAGAACATAGGGGAAAAAAAGAGAGATGTGTTAAACACACACCTTTCAGTATGCTTAATTTTTACTCCTGTAACTTAAACCAATACTGATAAGATGTTGCAGAACAATTATTAAAGTGATGGTGCAATTTAGAGGGCTGTTGCCTGGTTAAGCAGTGTAACTGCATATTAAGTTTCCCACATAACGTGCACAGAAAACACTCTGCATTCAGACTATCCACAAAGATGTGAAACAATAGCTGTATCTGAGTTTGGAGTAGAAATACAGGTTTGGAGAACTTTTTCACTCCCTCTTTAAGACTTTATGAAAAAGTCTGTGCTTGCCAGGCCAGTATCATGACAACTGAAAGAAACCTGCAATCCAAAAAATAAGGATTTCTACTTAACCTGAAAACTTGGCAGAAAGAACAAAACATGATTTCCCCCCCCGACTCCCAACACACCTGGTATCAGAGTGCAGCTTACTGTCTGTCAAGGCAGAGAAAAGCACATCTCTTCCTCTGTTCTTTAAAGATCTGGTGAGCAAGGACTAAGAGAGCACAGCAGCCCCTCCCAAAGAGCTCCAGAAGGATGGAAGTCCAGAAGTAAAGAGCAGTCTGTAGACAGCCAGTAGAAAGACAGAGTATGAACAGAAAGGTCCCAGTCCCATGAGCAAGCTCAGAACATACTGCATGCTGTACTGCTGGCTGTTCCCCACTTCCTCAGCAGAAATGCAAACTAGGAGCCTGAACACACCAAGGGGCTGGTCAACCTTAACCAACAGTAACTCGTAGGCACAGGAAAGGGGGAAGGAGGACAGAGAAGGTGTTTAAGAAGAAGGTATTTAAAAGATCTCTTAAGAGCAGCACGGACTGCTGTTCAGGACTACACGTAGTCTTGCATACTGCAGTTACACATTTTTGACTACTCTGCTACGAGCTCTTAGCTGTAACACAATAAAACGGAAGACACAACACTTGCTCTTGCTTATAAGATTAGCAGAAATGCGTATTTTCTGCAGAGTACATTGTCAAACACACTACACAGATGCAGCAGCTGTTGGCAGACAAACACACTGATACTATCGAACACAGAAGTACACTGCAGTTTTAGGTGTGGTTAAAGAAAAAAGTTCAAAGATTTTATCTGTTCCAATAATAAAGTAACAGTAATGTTTTTAAACTAAAGTCTAAGGATGCTGGTGGGTGTGTTTAACTTTTCCCACTCTACATACATACTATTTGCAATGAAGTTTGTTTTACTGTCACATACAGGGAACTGGCAGAGGTAGATACAAGATGTTTGTGGGTTTCACGTCATGAAACTGACCTACTTCAGAAGGGATCCCACTTGTTCTTACCATATACTCCTCTGTCAAGGAGAAGCAAAAATTCATCCACAGCATTTCGCATCTCAGACTCAGTAAGATCCAGCAAAGAAACAACTTTGAAATCCATCTGTCTTAGCAAGTTGGTCAATTCATAGACATCCACCATTGGAGCCTTGAGTCGGGGGTGATTCCAGTAGTTCATATTTCCAATTAAGAGAGCTACTTTGTCTGTTGCTGCAAAGACAAAGGAAAAACAAAACAGCAGTACATTTGTTGTATTCCCTAGATTCAATACCTAAAATTTAATTTATTCCAAAGCAGCAATAGTATCCAACCTCACTTCAGGCACAATACTTGCAAGTCATTCTGTATCAGCTATACAGCTAACTCAATTCTCATTCAAAGAACAAACATTTCAGCATGTTCTGACAGTCAACATATTTGAACCATGAGGCATTTAAGACTGGATAATTTATCAAGAAGTGAGTCACTAAGGCTATATGTCATTTCTTTAACTTTTCCTGAAAGCACCATTACTGAATTCCTCCATACAGAAGGAAATTTAATAAACATGGAAATTCTTACGCCAAGTTGCTAAAGGTATGGCCGGTTATATTCCACCTCTCCCACCCCTCAGGCCAGCATTATGACAACTGAAAGGAACCTGCAGATTCACAAAATCTTGTGCTTCTTAAAAATAAAACAAAGCAAACAAAAAACCACCACACACAAAAGACCACTTTCATATCTCCAATTCCTACGTTCACATCTTGCTAAAACATAGTATGTTTGAAGTAGAAGCTTTTACTTAAATAACAGAAAACTTTATTTAGGTCAGAAGTAAAAAGTCATTTTTTTCTGTTTGTTAAGGTTTCTTTGGTTGCTAAACAAAAGGTCCCTTTTCTCTGGGCCTCTTCTTCTGTTGCTGTAGTTAAAAACTGAGAGAAGATGAATTTACAAAACTGGGAGGGAAGTCTAACGATGTTCTTATATCCTGAGATATATTCATGCTGATTTTAACACAGCCAGAAGTATTTCTGTCCCGAGTAAACAGAGCAGCTATGAAACTAAAGAAAAAAATTTACATTGACAGAAGTGCTGGTAGGTAGTCTCATTTTTATCCAAAAATTGTACACCAAGGTACAGAAAGGCATTTATTCAAAGTAAGGCACTTCTCCTCTGGCTTATTTGTTACTTCTCCTCTCCAAAAGGAATTATTGTCCTACTGCTCTGGTTGCAAATAGGATCATATGACTGCCCCAAATCTGCTTCAGAGTCAGTAACCCCACTAACCAGGAGACAGCCTTTGTCTATAGCCTCAGCATCTAACGTTTCAATTCCTTTAGCAAGATTCCCAACTCGCTTTTAACATTCTTACAGCTGAAAAACCTTCAAGGTCTTGAACAGCATGGACTATTTTAATGGCAGAGAAAGATGTATAGTGACAGTAGAAGACTGATGTTGAAAAATACTTTTAAAAGCGTGAGTTTGCTATACAATTTAGAAAAGATGAGCCAGAACTGCACTTACACTCCCCCTCATGCTGATGAGCCTGAGAGAAGTAAGATTTTGACATAGTCTGGCAACCCTTCCACCTGGTTTGGCACTGACGAAGTCAACTCACCTGACCACAGTCAAATCTATGATACAATGTGAAGAGTGTGATTAAAAAAACCCCACCAACTGTTCTTCAAAACACATATCCTATCCACCTACCTCAGCAAGCTGCAGCTCAGGATCAATGCCTCCAAGCACTGTGCACAGTTGAAGCTGAGTTTGCAGGCACAACATACTCTCTTAGCAGACAACACCAATCCCTTTACTCACCTCACCCTAATGCCATGATCTCCAACCACAGAAGTATTCAAAATAATGGTGTAACACACTTGTTAAGGTCACAGCCAGAGGAATTTGTAACCGTAAACTGAAACAGGTGAGAAGTCATAGACACTCCACCAAGTCACTGAAAATCTGGTGCCTTCATCACAGCTTACTGCTTAAAGGGCAACCAAACATTATAAAGGGCTACAGAAATGCAGGCGTCTTCCTCCCTGCAGCTATTTCACAAGTTATTTCATAAGCAATGACAGAAGAAGCAAAATTCAGAAGCAACATTACCTCCTAGGTAAGAAATAAAAGTGTTCATTACAACCACAAAACTACTTACCAAAAGGTCTGTCATTTGATTGTTCCTGTAGGTCTGCAAGAAATCAATTACAAGAACAGATCATCAGTAAGTACAATCATAGTTGTCAGCATCAGAAAATGATCTGCATGTTCCATACAGCAACAGTCTACTAGTAAGGCTTTAATAACTTAATTTCTTCACTGGTTTTAAGAAAATAAAAATGCTTTTTTGTTGCTGTTATTTACCTGATTTCTTTGACCTATAGCAAACATACCCCAGTAGGATATGAATAGCTAGTCCTATTTATTAAGAAATATTAGAAACTTGTGGTATTATTTTAAATTTTACAAACTGTATGTCAGCATTTTCAGTAATGTCTGAAAGAGTTCATATTCTCCAAATGAAATGCAGATATGTAAGATGGAGATAGTAGCAGAGATGACAATTGGATACGTGCAAAATCTTTTATTTCGTACTTCACAGAGGAATGGTAAAGCCAATGCCCTGCAAAGCCTAACTCTGGATAAATGTCACAACAACACTACTGAACTATCTTTCAGTGACTAAGCCTTAGCAGAAGTAAACATATCTTTGATGTCTAACCCAGGAAATTATGACTTCTGTGATTTGATATTTTAGGAACACTATCAGAGACAATCCCTGATAGGGTATTATTTCAGAATTTGTTTCTATAATAAATATCAAACAGGCTTCAAGTCACATGAGCTCACTCCAACATTGAGTTGGTCTATTTCATAAATCCATCTATCATTGGTGACAGCCAGACATCTTATACTTCATTCACTGTAATCATCTGAAAAAGCAGCAACATAGTAAAACTTACAGCCCAACAAAGCCACAGACAAGAAAACAAAACACAATTTCTTCTGTATTTACATAAGTACGTATGCAGTATAAAAGAGCAGCTTTGTGTGATTTTGAAAAGATAACAGCAACTCTATGGTTCATTGCATATCTACAAGTTCGTTTATTGGGACCAGAAAGTGGTACTGCCCCTACCTGTCACTAATAAATCCCCGGTTATAAACACATCCAAATAATGTAAACTAAATATTGTAACCGAGCTAGGCTTCAGTGAATTGTAACATGAAATGAAGATGTGAAATCAAAGCTTTTCAAAACATAACACTTACCTGTTTTTTGAAGATCACTTAGATCTTCTGTGAAGAAATGCACCAATTCATAGTTTAAACAAGATGCGAAAATACATATGCTATTAATACATATATAATTAATATATCTATGTCATGCCATTATTAATTAAAGTCAAAAACTAGAAGACAAGCTATCTTTCTAAAATATTTTTGGCTTTGTATTTCTGTAAATCTAACTTTCTTATGTTTATTGCACATGCACAGAAGAGAAAATCATGCATCAAAATACTAGAATCATAGAAGCATACTAAGGCATACTAGACACGGTATTACAATACAGCTGAAAACAGAGGTAGAAACATACTACGTCTCAGGCCCACATGCATGCAAGCAGCTTGAATGAATAAGGAACAAGACGTCAGAATATGCCATGCGAAAAATAGATGTTTTAAGGACTGCTTAAAAAGCAACATGCTGAGCAAGAAGTCTTACTTTGTAAGGCCATGTACATTTAGAAAGATATAATTTTCAGATATATTTTTCAAACACTCTAAACTATCACAGGTTTCACCTATCTATTCTCAGAATACTGGAAACTATGGAAAAGAAAAATCATTTACACGAAGCACCAGAGGTCTCTTGGAACAGGCCTGCTCCACGCAGCAGAGCACTAGGCAGATCTTTCAAGCCCCAAGAGCAGGCTCACATATCCACATGGGAAACTCTAGTTAACTAAAGTGAAACTCGCACGTGTTTTAATGTAGCTTAGTGGCAGAACAAACTTAAAATCACACAATGGTTTGGGTTGGAAGGGACCTTAAAGATCATCTAATTCCAACCCCCCTGCCTCAGGTAGGGACCCCTCCCACTAGATGGGGTTGCACAAAGCTCCATCCAACCCGGCCTTCAAACTTGCATCCAAGCAAACTGTAATTTGAGTGCAGACCCCAGCAGTTAATACAGTGATTATCTTCTTCTTCAAAGGCTTGTTGAATTACAGACAAGTAGTAGGCTTCTGCACAGCGCTCCATCATGTAATGTAGACACCTCTCCAAGCCAGAAAGGATGTTAAGGCTCAAAGAGATGTCACAGAAGCTATGCTGTGGAAGTGGCCGACCCTGAAATTTGTGTTACTCATACGTTCTAGTACACAACACCCTCACAATGTCAAACCTTTAACAAAGGAGCTAAAGGGGAACATCAGCTCCAGTTAAAGATTGAACAAGAAACATTGCACAGCAGCTTAATTCCAAGAAAAAGAGTAAAGAGATGTTTATAGTGCCTTGCAAAACAAACGTATTTGTTTCCTTCAGTGCTGGTAGGTCAACTTGGGGCAGGGCAGGGGGGCTTCTGTGAGCAGCCTTACATCTTTATGTACAATACCCCACTGTGTAAATTTTACAGGCTTTAAGAGTCTCAGTAGTTAATGGATGGCATCAACACAAAGGTCACTATACAACTTTCCCCGTGGTAGCAGTTTAAAGGAGAAAGGAAATCAACCATTAGGCTGGTGGCAACACATCTTGCCGACACAGACCTGACAGTGGAACCAGCTCTATTCAGCTCTTTAAGGTTATCCAGGTCCCTAAACATACCAAGTTTTTCTTGCTAGGATGTTGCTTCCTGGAGCCCAACTAAAGAGATCTCAACACCTTTTGTGTTTTAAAAGAAATTATAAGTGCAGGGCATAAAAACAGTACAAAAATGAATATTGCAGAAGAAATCTTGCTTTCCCTCCTCCCCCACCCCCCAAGCTTTAGATCATGCTATCAAGGCAAAGAAGAGAGAAGCACGTGCAGAAGGAATGTTACATCACGCATCAGTGTTTTAAAGCACACTGAAGCTCTTAACCCACACATGCTTTTCAACAATGCACTTAGTAATACATCATCCCAATAATTAATCTTTAAAAGTTGATTGACAACTAAAGAGTTACTTTACCTTCTGTGCACTCCACTGCCATAGATTTCCTTCCTTGTGTTTTAAGCGGGGGGAAATTGGAAGACAATTGCTCTCAGTTATGAGAGTTAGCACATAAAATGGAAGAAAAAAGTCACTTCCAAGCTTCTCTGTAATCTGGCTCATTTTACAGCAGTAAAAATCTTTCAGCACTGACTGTGATACTGTATAGTAATTATTACTAAAATTCAGCAGTACTAGAATGTTCTTAGGATAGGAAAGAACTTTTCATATGAATTATGCAATAGTAGTCCCAGATAAATCTAGAAGCTATATAAACAGATCTTCTCTTCTTTAGTTTACTGCAAATACATGCACACGCCCTAAACAGTGTTATATCCATTTATTCCACTTGCTGTGAATAATCTCACCTGCCCCAATTGCTAAAGAGCTCAGCGTAACACAGTTCAAATCACTAACAAGATGTTAATGAAATCAAGGTTTAAACTGTTGTCAGAAACAAAAATATAAAGAAAACAGCTCACCATCTGTTGACAAGCTACATTCATACTAGCAATGCCAAAAAGCAGTAGCATTTCTATGCTAGCTACCTTAAAAACCCAAAGCACTTTATAACTTACAGAACTTTAAAACTGCCTTTGCTGTCAGCAAGCAACACTATTTTAACAAAGGGATACACTAAAAATATAGAAGATTATGTGCTTGGCTTAATACCAGAAGTCTGAAAAGCAAATTCTGGTGATAGCGAAGAAATTGGTAAATCAACTGACCTCTATCAAACTGAAAAACTCCTTACCTACAACAACTTCTATCTTCTTGCTGTCTTGGTCTTCCTGGTCATTGAACACGTGACACCAATATGTTCCCCCATGCTCCATGTCCACACAAGTTACCTATGTGAGCACAATCATAGTCATCCTGCCAGGCCCCAGGCCCCCAGATAAAACAGTAAAAATTAAAAGCAAAACCTAAACAAATCCGCAATTTTCTGATACCCTCATTCTACAGAAAGCTGAACAGCATGCATTCTAGAAATGCTTTCAGAAATTGAAGAAAGAGTGCAAATCCACCTAACAGGCCTGAGATACTTTAAGCATTAAATGTAGCAGCTCTTACAAATCACAGAGCTTTGCAGTCTGGGATAGAAATACAAGGTTTCACTTTCACTGGTACTTAATCTTTCTTATGTAAATAAATCTCTCTAATTCAAAATACAATGTAGCTGTCCACCCCATGACCACCACCTGAAACACGTTCAGGATTACAATTCTGCACCCTGGAGCCTCAGAGCCATATTGGCATTTGAGTAACAAAACAGGATGGCTACTTAGAAACTGTATTTGCATAAAAGGTTATCAAGGCTATGAAGAAGTTATTTTCTTCAAGGAAGCTTTATGTGATAAGCTAAAGGTGATTACATATTAACCCCCCCAAGAGCACTCTGCAGTAACTTACCATGTAGACATTTTTGCTCCCATTTGCCAAGGGAAATCCATTCCTGAACCACTGATATTGAGGAATTGGGTTTCCAACAGCTCTGCATTCTAATACCAAAGCATCTCCCACTGTCAAGTTTTGTGGCTGAGGCTGAATACAAATGCATATCTTCTTATCAGGCAAACTAATTAAGCTCCCTTCAAAAAACAAAGGAAACAATGAAAGGAAAGAAACTTTTCCATCTGTCAGTGTGCTTGTCTTGTTTGCTTGTAGTGCAGTTAACCCCTCACTCCATTTCCACAGAATCTAGGTTTTCTTATGTGTCCAGGCTTTAAGCATACAAGTGCTATGAGCTTCTGTATAAGGTAGGACTTTTTTCTAGTGGCCAGGAAAGCACTGAAACTCATTAGGTTCTTCTTTACCCAGTATCTTTATTCTCAGACTGGCAGCAAACAGATAGGCGGTGGACAAAAATTCCTGATTATCAGATCAGAACCCATAGGACAAACATGCATAAAAGACTGCATGTGTAAACACACTAACAGGTTACAGGGCTCAGGTTAAAAAAAAAATAAATTGATTTTTCTGGTACAAGAATCCTTTAGGAATTCAAAGGATTCCAAGACACTGTTTTCCATCTATTCTTATCCGCTATTCATAAAATCATAGAATGGCTTGGGTTGGAAGGGGCCTTAAAGTTCACCCAGTTCCAACACCCCTGCCATTTCTTCCTAATGTCTAATCTAAATCTATCCTCTATTAGTTTAAGACCATTCCCATTTATCCTAACATTATCTACCCAGTAGAGTCCCTCTCTCTCCTTTTTATAAGACTCCTCGAAAGGCCCCTATTGTGGAACTTTGTTTCTTTTCTGCTTTTATAGCCAGTACAAGAGCACAATAATTGAGTATCATCTTTTAATCGTCCTTCTCTCATGTCTGCGCAAGACAGTGACGGAGACCTGAGTTTCTCTAACAAACAGGAAGGCAGACTTTCAGAAGACCACATTTGTCCAATAAATGCTCACTCGAACGCAAAAAAAAAAAAAGACTTCAGCTTCAAGGTACAATCCACATGGAGATGTCCCGCTATAAAAAGCTTCTGCCACTCACTGTGAGATGCACCCTGGAGATCGCAAACTTCCAGTCGTGCCCACTGACTGAACGCAAACGAAGATTCACTGTTCACTCGACAGATGTAGAAGCCAGCATCGTTTACTTTCACTGGATTCAAAACCAGTTCTGGAGAATTACCATAGGGAACCTGAATCACACACGAACCAAGAAATACTTTGATTTAGTTTCATTTAAGCTAAACTAGGATCAAACATTAGAATATTTATTCATCAACTCCTCAGTATTAGAATATTTATTAACAGCAGCCTCAACTTCCGTACTTGCTTAAAAATTTTGAATGAGAAAATCTTGCTCTACACGCTTGGTAGCTTAGAGAGGGACTTTCTTCTAGGCATTATTCATGTGCGCCTATTTAAGAGGATTCTGAGCTTTTAAGCTGGTTAAATAACCCTTCCTGATATTATTTATTTTGTAGGAAGATAATCAGGACAAGAAATATGGGCATTACTGCTGCCGTTCACACTCCAGAGATACTGGTTCACATACACTCTGGTATTTTACCCAAGTCTGTGACACACTTGTGTTCAGGCCTTCAATTGCTCAGTCTTTGGAACCAGCTTCCATCTGTCTAAAGCCAACGGTGACTGACATTTATTCCACTGCAGCAGTTTCTCCTCAGGGTGTGAAATTTCTTGGTAGGGTCATTAGAGCATTTATTCAACTTTTATTTTTATTAGTAGGTGAAGCAAACATCTCCCCTTATAATTAAGGGTGACAGCCTTCAAAAATTTTTGGAGAGAAATTCCCATCTAACACCAGGAATATCATAAACTAGTTTATGTAGTCATTACCTATTCTTTTCACCAATTTTTATATACATACATACACACACACACATTTATTTATTTATTTATTTATTTTCCCTATTACCTCTTTTTCCTGTTTGAACCACTGGTAATGTACAAATGGGTGTCCTGTTGCCCAGCAACACAGCTTGACAATCTGGCCAGAGAGCACTGCTTGAGAGTCTGGCTGTATAACAATCTTTATACCTTTAAAAAAGAATTTAGACATAGAAAAGTGATTGGATTTTGCTCACACCAAATGATTTCTTTGAGTTGTTAAACTTCAGACATGAGACAAGGCACAGCCTGAGGGAGCGTTCAAAATAGCAAAACCTTGTTTAACTACAACATACTGAGTTCTTCAGGTATTGCTCATGCAACTTAATAGCCAACGTTAGTTTCTTTAATGGCTTCTGCTCCTGTAGAGCACAGGGCTGGGGCTTTCTTTTTACTAGGCTGCAAGGTAAAATTTTCCACTTCAGATTTTAACTGCCAGGAAATAGTGTGAGTGAAATTCTGACACCAGTCTGATATGATCCAGTTGTTTTCTTAACCTAGACCATTCCAGAGATCTAATTACAGTACAACCCCCAAAGCAGATCCACTGTTACAACCAAGGTCACGGGAAGAAGAGGGGGAAAAAAAAGTTATTTGCAGAACAGAAAGTTTAACCTCAAGGTGCTGACAAAGAATATATGCACCTCTGGCCAAAGTGTTCAGCAATGTTGAGTTGATAAGGCAAAAAGATCACTAGATTGAAGTGCCATTTGCTATGGATTGCAAATGCACGTAACAAACCCAGTGAGACCACAAGTAACAGTACATGCTAATGACTAGATGCTACAACACTGGTCACAGAAAAAGTACAGAAACAGTGAACGGCACAGAGGCACTTCATTACCTTTTCATTATTCTCTGAAATTAACAATCAGATACAAAATAGGTATTCATATTTAATATTTCATTTTGATTAGAGTCAGTCTATTTCCTTGTATTGGGAGAAAGTAGGTTCCTTATTACTATTTAAAAGGAACACACTTTGCAGAAGCTGAAAGCGCAGTTTGGTACAGAAGCAGCATCCTAGACTGGGTGGGGAATACTTTTAGAGAGTAATGTAAACTAAACAGAAGCAAAAATAGCTGCAAAGAGATTGCAAACATCCCAGTACAAGGCTCAAGATTATAATTTGCTCCAAGCCTTCTTACTACACTCTATCAGGAGTTTTCTTTTTGTCTGCTTCCCCTCCCAACTCTCCGCTTGTGTTCAACAGCTTAGTCACACATGGGGACTTTTTCCTAACAGAGAATGCTTGAGGAAAGAAACTGTAATGATTTGATCAACAGGCTGAAACTTGAGCAGAAACACATGTGGTTAGACTGAAACAGAGATTCTGTGTCATATGGAAATCACAGGGTCTTTGTCTAGCAGGGAAGCAGGCTACGTTAGCTTCCTCCATACAGAATCTTATTCTAAAATAGTTGAGCGCACAGGGGTCTACTCCAAACTAGCTACAGGACTTGAAAGCTCCTTGTCTATCTTTCCGTAAAAGATTTTCCCTCTAGAGCTTAGCTCCAGAGATGGATACTTCAGTTTTTCATTTAATACTTCCTCTGCTGTTTTTCTGAGTTAAAGGAAGCATTTTAAGTCGTTCACAATCACCTAATATTAAACAATATTATCACAATCACCTCATATTAAACAAGACAAGTAGGATGTTTACAATGTCAATTTAAAGGGCTTTGCACTTTCCAAAGACTTCCATTTCTATTTTTTTAATCTCTCCTGATTTGCATCACTAACATCTCTTAAGAAAGTAGCTGAGAAAAGCAAGTCATCTGAAAGATCAGTATCTTGCACTCCTTAGAGTTGTTACAAACAAGTTCTAAGAAAACTGATTCATAATTTCTTCAGTTTCGGTTATTTTCCTGTCATTCACTCAGCATTATATAGCTACTTCCTGCAAACATTACAGAATTTAATGTGTTAAAAAACAAAACATCTGGCTTAATTTTCTGAATGATTACAAAGATACACCAACACTTCTTTGTTCATTCAACGAACCATGGTGCTCCTAGTACAGTAAAAATCAGCCGCCTTAACTAGATGAAATGGCTGCAAAGCATTGCTATTACTAGTTAACCTGAAAAATTCCACTGTTGTCTTAATAGTAGTTCTAAGTCCATTGCTTCTGTTCTCATGCTATCCAAAGAAAAGAAGAACAACTATCAGTATGGCAAAGAGCTTGCTAGTCTCATTCCCAATCCCCACTTTCATGAGGGGCTTTTGTAACTTCCTAGTAGACCGAATTTTACCACATCCTGAAGGACTGTACTTGTACTCTACAAGAAGCATTTGGTCTACATGGTCTTACCCATGCATGCCCTTGCATTGTCCACACTTCTGCAATTTTTGAGAAGCAGCAAACTGAATGCGTTAGCAGAAAATAATCTAGTTCCCTGCTAGGTTAGCCTCTCTGCCCAATTAGCTAGTTGGAATGGATCCAATACACAACAGAACTGGTGCTAATTGAACAATTCCCTTTCAATCAGGGTAAGCTACAAACTGAAGTTCTCAAAACCTGTAGCCTAAACAGATGGCTGGCAACGCTAGTTGCCTTTCTAACTCAACCACTGCAGTTCTATAAGCATCTCCCAAAGCCCCAGTTTAATACAAGTTAGCAGAGCAAATGACAGCACCTGTCACATCGATGCAGCCAAGTCCAAGCTTACAAGACTGCATTAAGCCTGCTTACCTACTTAGCCTACTTTTAATCTCACAATCATATAAATGATACCAGTTACTAGAATTCAACAAAAAACAATGTTTTTATTTATTATAGAAAACAAATACTTCAGTGTTTCCAGTGGAAAACGCCTAGTTTCACTGAAAGCACGAACCAGAACTGACCTGAATAGCTGAGGCACTGGAGAGCCTCTGTATGCTCCAGGGCCTGCAGGAACTCCACCAGTTCCACCACTGTGCAACCCCTATCACCCAGCAGCTTCAGGAGACTCCAGCTTGGACTTCCTTCTGGCTCCAGGACTTTGAGGGAACATTGTTCTAAATCGAGAGGGCTACAAAATAATAAGACAAAGACATGGCTTAGACCTTCTTAATACTCTTTCTCAAAAAGGACCTAGATTAAGAAAAATCAGTTTGAGACCAAAACAAACAAACAAGATGGGAAAATCGTAGCTGATCTGGGCTTTTTCAGAGTATTTCCTTCAGGTTTCAGGAGTCCAGAGGTTATATAGCAGCACTTCCATAGACAGAAATTAGTAAGTTGTATGCTGTAAAACAAGAGATGTTTGTACCTAACAATTCTGACCAAACATACTGAGAAATCTTCTAATTTTTTTTTTTATTTTCTAAGTCTCAGCAGAAAAACAAGTACAGCGCCTTTCGTTTTCATGTGCCTAATTCAGAAGCGGTAAAAACTGAGTCAGACTCTAACTTGAAAGCCCAGGAAGACTTCGATTTGCAGAGTAGCTGTTAAAACAGGCAACCGCGGCAGCTTCGCTACTGCACACACGGCTGCAGCCACAGCTGACAGCTCCAATAAATTTATGGCCAGCTAGAAACTTTCCCGCTTTTAAACTTCAGTTTTATGACTTCACGTGCTTTTGTTCTCAGCAGACTGGAACAACACAGATAATGGAATGAGTAATTATGGAAAGGGAACGCAGGTTTATGTATTACCGCTAAAAAGCCTCATCACCGCTTCCTTCATTAACTCACAGTGCCACTCAGACCTGGAGGCAGGACACCCTCCCTGACCGAGAACCTCGTTGCATTTCGCTGGGTAACACGGGCACAGACACGCAGCACCGGGCCTCGAGGGCGTCGTGCTGCTGGTCCCGGGGTGTTTCCCCGTACCAATGCTCGCCCCAGGGAAAGGAAACGTCTTCGCAGCGCACCTTCAGCGCGGCGCTTGGGGCGCCTTTCCGCTATTTCCCCCTCGAGGCTCTCCCCTCTGCACGAGCCCCGGGAGGGCGCAGAGCGAGCAGGAAGCGCCGCGCCGAACGTGACCCGGGCAGGAAGCGCCGCTCAACGCCCCCAGCCAGCGGAGCCGCCCCGCAGCCAGCAGCGGCCGCGCACCTGCGGCGGGGGCGCGGGGCCCTCGGTGCTGGCTGCTGCCGGGGCTCGGGGCCCGCCGCCCTGCCCCGGGAGGCTCGTCCATGCAGCGGGCAGCAGGGCGAGCCCCGCCCGCTTCGCCCCCTCGCCAGCGGCCCCTGCCCCGTGTCCGTGCCCGGCCCCCCGCAGCGGGCAGCGCCCTCACCTCAGGCGGACCCTGCCGCGGCTCCCCGCTCGCTGCGCCAGGTCCCGCCAGCCCTTGCCGGGCGCCGCCCGGTCCAGCAGCTCGCTGAGCCGCCGCAGCACCGGCTCGGCCAGGCGGCTGAGGGGAAGGGAGCCCGGCGGGCTGCGCGGCGGCTCCGACATCGCCCCGCTGCTGCCTCCGCCGGGGCGGTGCTCCCGCCCGGAAGGACGCGCCCAACGCAGCCGCACGGCCCAGCCCGGCCCGGCCCCCGCCGCCGCCGGCGTCCCGGTACCGCCCGGCCCCGTCCCGGTACCGCCCGGCCCCGCCGCAGCCCCCCGCAGGGCGCCGCCTGCCCCGGGCGCGGTTCGCTGCCGGTGGCCCGAGGGGAGCGGTGGGGCGTTGGCGCCCCGCCGTGAGGCAGAGCGATGCCGCGGCCAAAAGCCACCGCGTGCAGCCGGGAGGGCCGGGGTCGGCCGGGGAGCAGCTCCCCTGTGGAGGGAGCGGGGCCGGGCAGGGCGCTGGGGCGAGCCAAAGCGGGAAGCTGGCAGCAGGCAGGAGGCGTTGGGCCCGGCCGCAGCGCTCCCCGCCTCACGCTCCGGCCCCGGGAGCCGGGGTCCCGGCGGGGGCAGGAGCTGCCGCTGAGGGGAGGCCCCCGAGTCCCTGCTCCAGCGCCGTGAGGCGAGCGCGGGCACGGTGTGAGGTGAATTCGCATCTAACCGGAGCTACAGGTTGCTCAAAGTGGGCTGAAAGTGTCTTAGAAATTACTCCTACTACCAGTTTTAATCAGTGACCGAGCACTCAGGTGTGACCGCCCATACTCCGCAGTGTTTCCTTGCGTAGCTGCAAGCCTGCCCCGATGTCCCTGTGCGCAAACTGGAGGCCGGTGGCTGCAGTAGCGCAATGTGGAGACCAAATCCATCAGCTGTGCGTGTAGCTGGGTGTCTCGTGCCTGGCACTAGTCAGAGCTGCACAGAGACGCACACCTGCCTGCAGAGCTGCTAACAGCACAGCATCTCCCCTTGGTTTCTGTGGGGTCCAGCACCTCTGAAAAACAAGCTATTTATTTAGACCTGAATTTGCATGGAGTGGCTTCTTCACGCACTGTTAATCAAGAATGTATTCCTCCCACGTTATGTGCGAAACCAATCTGCGTGGCAGCATGGATACAGGTAAGAGTGCATTTGGCTTCCTGAGGACATTCGTGTACCCACAGCTGTGCACGATACCAGGCTGGTGTCTTTCACCCGCCTTGGGCTGTGGACAATGCTTATTGGGACACCCCACGGTGTCAAACAGTCAAATTAGATCACGTTGAAAATGGCTTCAGATCCTGGTCTCTCAGTTCTTTGGGGATTATTTTGGCTATTAAGCTATTGTATGAATCATAGATATCCCTGCTGCTCTGTTTGTTGCTAAACACACTTGTTTTTTTTTAGCCTGTGGCCTAGGTCTCGGGAACATTGGGTATCTGAAGTATTTAGCACCTCAGTATCTGATAACGAGCATTTTAGCTGCACTTTCTGCAAAACAGTCAAGAAAAAAACATGGCGCTAAACCGGCTTTTCAGCCTTTTCTGAGCTCCTTGAGCTGAGGGCATTTTGTGTAATTCAGACAAGTTCCCTGTGTGAGAATTGGCTTCTTGGGTAGCAGGCAGAGGAATACTTTTTCAGGATACATTTAGATGTGTGTTTGATAATCATTGCCTTTGAGAAATGCGAATTGTTAGGTGATTTTTTCTGTGTAGCGATTGTTAAAAGTTCACTGTTCACCTTTGGCTTCCTCAGTCTACTTGTTAATGAGAGTTGCGCAGATTTTTTTGCATTTTTAACTTCAAGCAAGTCAGAAATTCCAGCCGTGCCTAGCAAAGCAGTTAAGCACACTAAAGCATGTGCTTTAAAAGTGAGCCCAGTGCCTTATTATGAAAACCTAAGGCCAACACTTCCTCTCTCTTAAGGCCACGAGGAAATGCCCGTGGACTTCTATGGAAGTAGGATCTACCCTCTCATCACTGCCAGCTCTCTCACTCTCGCCCTCTCTGGCTGAGGTTTTCCTAGGAAGAGCCATCTGCTGCGTGTAATGAAATAGGCTCTCTTGGAAGACAAACTGCTGTGATCAGACTCACTATACTAAGGTCACACTAGCAAAACAACACTGAAGAGCTTCTCAGCTTTGAAGCAAAATGCATAAACTAAATGTCTTCTCTCTTGTAATGCAGAGTCAAACCGCAGGCCTGGTCCACAACTAGAACTTAAAGAGTGAGCACAGAAGGGTAAGTGCACATGTTTATGGTTTGAGAGGTCAAATTGTTTACAGTTTTAAAATGACTCGGCTACTTATTTCTCCTATGTTCAAATAGGAAAAGAAATATTGTAGAAAATAGAAAAGTGATCGTTAAAGATAAATAAATGAAGAAGAGCCAGTTACTTTATTCTTAGTGTATGACATGAATATAGTGATTTATACTGTTTATGTAACAGTATCATTTGTTATTTGCTTATTGTAAAGCAACTCCCGATAGATTCTAGATATTTAGATTCTGCTAAATATTTCTGAAATTACAGTCTGGTAATATCTACTGAGTTTGAGCAAGAGAAACAAAATCGCAAAAGCCGCACAAAAGCGAACTTTATTCTGTAAGGAATGTGTAAATGACATTAGGTGTCCTGAAATATACATTTGATTCTTTCCAAAGGTTTATTATATGGCCTAGTACTCCTGAGTTTAAAATTTCCTCCGTTTCTCCAAAAAATCTGGTCACTTACTAGCATGATAGATGGTTATTGGTCACGAATTGCTCATGCGACACTGTCAGATGCTTGACAAATGTTAAAAATAGATTAAGACAGATCAGTGTTAAGAGTTGTGCTGTGATTGCTTATTTTAATTAGTCTATATTAAGCTCTTCGTTACAGATACGCAGAACGGTCACTTATTCTTCTTAGGTTTAGCCAATGGATTATACATGTAGCTGTGGCATTTCCTTTATACTGTGTTGCTGTTTACAATAGGTAGTGCACTAGTGTAAGAAATTTTCAAATCACCTCCTATGTGAGAAGTTTAAGAAGCACGGCATGTTTGCCAAGGTCACATTTTCCAGACATCTGCTTTTTGCACAGCCCAAACTTCACTGCTGTTTTTCTTATCCAAACCTTGTTAATGCAACAGATATACAATAATTGGATTAGATAATACAGTGTTTTGCTGGTTTGGTTTCTGACATTATAGGCATTTTGACAACTTTGCTGCTCTAAATGTTTGATTTGATCACAGTGTCTTGAAGTATTTGTAAAAGAATAACATGATTATAGTTATTATTTATATTCTAGCATTAGAGATTCTGGTTAGAACTGAGTCAGAATTTCATTACTGCGAGATACAGAAATGCACAGAAAGCGCAGTCATTGTGGATCATTTTGTGCACGGGTTCTCACTACTCTTACCCCATCAAATATTAGACTGCAGTAAGCAAAGTGCTGTATAAATATTTAACCATACTAATGTGAGTAGAGTTAGCAGAGTTATAACTGAATTTTAGAATTTCAGGTTTTGTTGACTCAGAGATTTTAACTTTTTAAAAGTAACAACATTGAAGACTGAATGCGTGATCACAACCTTTTTGGAAAGGAACACAACTTTTTCTCGAAGTGTTTCTACTGCTGTCTGGAACAATCACTTTGGAAAGCTTGTGTAGACAAGGAGTAGAGGAAAGCGGATCAGAAATTTCAGGTGGAATTTGATTCAATCAGTACTGATGGATGCACTGAAAAATTGCCTCACAGAAACAGGCAAACATTGATGAAACTTTTAAAAGAAAAGTTTATTACAAGATTTGACTTATGTTAAAGGAAAAGTTTTTAAAGAGCACGTGAAAATTAGCATTTAAGCAGGGTAAACCATGCATGGCAACCTTTTTGGAAAAGAAGGTTATATCTTTCTAATCATAAATACAAATATCTTCTATGAATTTCCATTCAGGGAATATAATAACTCATTTAAAAGATTTAAATAGGAATTTGTGTCTGTGTTTATAGCAGCTATTTTGTTGAACGGGGAAAGTCTGTTTTGTTTCATTTTGTCTTGTAAGCAGAAATGTGCTAAATTTGGAGAACACAAAGTGTGCATGGAATTTTGGGTAGTACAGGAATGTTGTAGTTGTGCAAACTGTATGCAGGCTCTGTGAAAGATTGTTAAGACGTATTTGAGAAATATTTCCGGGGAGAAGGTGAAGTCAGTTAGCATTAACCTTGGAACATGGCTGCAATTAAGCAGCAGACTTGGATTTCACAGATGACTGGGTGGCAGGTTATGTACCGTACGCACGGTGCCATAGTAGTGGAAACGGCTTGTAAGGTTATTTGAGTTATTTGCATATGAGGTCTTTGTGTCTCTGCAAACCAAGAGTCACAGTGATAAAATTGCAAGCAATCCAAGAATCAGGGTCGTAAAAACTCAAGTTTTGTTAGCAGTGATACCTAATTTTACTCTGCTTTTGCTACTGCAAGTTAATTGCTATTGCAAGCTATTGCAGTAACCATTCAAGTTACTCTTGTGGTTCTTAACCCTGGAAGTAATTGTTCAAGACCAGGGTGGACGAGGCTCTGGCAGCCTGATTTAGGGGGTGGCAGATCCGAGTGCTGGGAAGATGTGCCTAGTCCCACTGTATGGTACTGCCCATCCTAGGTTTTTCTTGGGATTATGTTTTTAATGGAGGTTCCTTACCACTTTTATTCTTGTTTCTGTTCTGTTTTTGCTGCTGTCTCACGCTTTAATCAATATAATATTTCTAAAATCCTGCTGCCTACACCAACTAGATTTCTGATTGGACCTGCATAGTACACACCCGTTCCTATTCATCAGAAAGGAAAGTTTCGTGGCTGTTAGTGTTTTGGTTTGGAGTTTTGTCATGTTCATCTTACCTGAGGTCTGGTTATGTCAGCCACCTTTCTTTGTGGCTAAGCTACCTGTCAGCATCTCTAAAAGGGGATGTATGCGTCGGTTTATAGTGCGCCCCAGCAGGAGGAGGAGGAGCTGTTGATACATCTAAAGTTCATCTGGATAGTCTAGGGGATTGTATTTGTTTTTTCAAAAGAGCAAGTACAGTTTCCAAATTTTAGCCTATAGAGTAGAGCTAATACTAGGAAACTCTGCTGGCATTTGGAGAATTTGTTGTTTCAAACCAAGTATCTCAGGATGAATGGTGAAGCAGATAAAAAATGTTCCACTGACTTTCTAAACACGGTCTATCAGATACGGAAGTGTTAACAGAGCAGGCAAGCAGACTGTGTTAGCCATGTACCTATATCCTCCTCATATACACATACGTACATAGGAGAAAGATTATGCTTCCTGTTTATTCAAGTCTCTCTCCAAGCTCATTTGAAGTGGTGTAGTTCTGTTTTCCTATCACAGTGATGACATTTAGCACAGCTGTCTCTTTCTAGCTGTAAGCTCCTACCAAAATAGCCAAACAAAACCAAAAATCAACAGTGAGAACAAAGTGAAGAGCTTAATTCTGATGTTGGAGAAGCTCCCTCTGCTTCATGGAGACAGATTCTAGTTCATAACTAGTTCCCATATGTCCGTTCACTCCTGGTTTTAAAGCATACTTCTTTTATCAGGTCTATCTGATTTAAATTAGTCTTTGTTACATAAAGAGAAATAAGAACATCCAACAATCTGTGGGGGCTAATGTGCTCCAGTCTCCATGCGCTGCAGGAGGTTTTGAACCAGAACCCACAATGGAACTAACTTCACCAGGAAAATCCTTTATCTGTGGTCAGTTTGGCATGCTTTTATCATTATACCCCAGTTTCTGTAAAACATGCAAATCTGAATGGCTTCTTTGAAGCCAGGAGAATTTCATGCAGGGCAGAGGTTAAGTATCTGCTTTGGGACCTTGGCCTGAAACCAAGTTTCTCAGAAGAGTGACTGTAGAATGACCTGCTGCCTGCCTGCCTTTTTTTGTTTTTTATTTGATAGTAAACTGCTGACGTATGTACTGGCAATTTGCATCTACTCTACTACTTATTAGGAAAATAACTGTAATTCAAATACAATTAAGTACATATACAAAAAAGGCTGCAAACCTTTGGGTCAACCCTTTGAACCAAGTGGTGTGATTACCATCAAGATGAAACCGATCTACTCAGTTTTGCAGATTGAACTTTTCTCCCAGAGACAGACTGTGCGATAAGTCATATTTTCATTTGAGAGAGAATATAAATGTAGTTAGCTAAATGTAATATAATTACACTTGGATATACCCAAATAAATATAATTATAGAAATAATGCTCAGTTATGGTTCAGCTCTGCAATGGCATTGTGCGCTGCCTAAGTACATCTTTATTATATACAATATAAAAGAACTTTGTCCATGACATTTTATGTAATGTTCATGTGTTACTTAATTCTGCATGCAAATTCATTTCATCAAATTTTAGTAGAAACTGTATGAAATGATTTTTTTTCGTACATTGTGACAGTCACCATTTTTTGTCTGTTATTTGTGTCCTCAGGAGAAAGATCTTTATAGAGTTTTAGGTGGTAAGCTGAGAATCATTGAAGAGTTTTGTTTTGGAACTCTGATACCAACTTCTGATACACGCAGGGAGAAATCACATTGTGCCTTGATTCCTTGTCCGTAAAACTGAAAACCCCAAACTTCTCTCTTCAATTTGTATGTGGTTCTCTCCTACTTTTGCAGGAGTGATCCAAGTGTGACCGCATTGTTTTGCACCAGGAGGTGCTGGTTCATTACGATTTCTGAAAGAAACACTTGCAGACTGTGTGAAGCATCGCTTAGAATGCCACCTGCAGGGGTGCCTGTAAAAAGAGAGCAGTAGAGAGAATCTCACGTCCCTTCAGAAGCTGGGTTCCCTGCACTGCATGGCAGGGCGTGGGCCTCCGGTCAGGGTGCAGTGTGCCACACAGTCCCCATCCTGGAACGGTTACGCTACGTGGGGCGTTCGTGCTTCTGTGGTGTGTGCCTAAAGCACAGCAACTCCATTCATTGCTGAGATGGCCACACAGAACTGAAGAAAAAAGGGTAGTGACAGAGTGAATGAGAAGTGGGAAGCTGGGAATTTCAGAGGTTTGTTGAGAAGCTGTGCAGAAGTCCTCCCTTGAAAGCTGCACAGGAAGTCTGTAAGAGCACAAATCTGCGCTGAACTGCACTGCCTGCATTGCTGGACGGATTCTGATGTGTGAGAAAGAGAGCACTTCGCCTGTCAGCAAGCAGTGTGCAAGCACCACAGCAGGACTTCAGAAATTCATGAGCTCTGGCTTGAAAAGCAAGTCGTTTACAAAAACAGAAATAGATAAGCCTCTTTCGATTCATCTTTTGATTTTAGTGCATTTATGGTTCATGTTTTCAAGGTTTGTCCTTTATAGTGGTGGACAGTGGGTTAGTGATTCATTTTTCTGGAAAATGAAAACTATGGTGTTCATATTTTTGGCCAATGCACAGAACTTTCAAAAATATGTTTGTGATTTTTGATTCAGAGAATTAAGGGGGGAAGACTAATGGTTTAGTCGTGTAAACTTAGACATGGTCTAAGGAAGTTACAAGCACAGATTATTTATGGAACTATCCATTTCTCTTGAGTTTTCAGGTGTCGCAGACCTGGTGTCAGCTTGGTATAGGGAAGCCAAAATACTGGCAGCAGGATCTCTTAACGTGAGACACAGGAGGGTTATCAGTTGTGTTCCTGCATGTGTTGAGCTCAGATAACGTCTGTGTGGGCCGGTGCAGGTTCTTCTCTGCCACCCCGGTGCGCTGGTGTGGGCGTAAAGCCAGGCACGGGCAGAACACGCGCGGCAGGCGGGGGCATTGGTGCTCTCACGTGGAGGTTTTCAGCGTGCCCAGGCAGCGCTCCGGTTGTCAAAGCATGCTTACACCTATTACATCTACAAGATCTAGGCCTGGGTGAGGTGCTCCTTGTGCCAGGCAGCATGTGAATGCACAGCGTGGTCCCCAACCCAAAAAGCTGGCGCCTTGATGATAAGAGAAGAGACAATAGGTGGGTGTGGGCGGATGGGTCTGCCCAACGAGGGCAGCAGCAAGTGCATCTGAACGATAGGAGGGTCAAGTTTGGGGGTGGGCCGAGCAGGGCTGTGCAGGGAACAGAGATTACGGGATGAACAGGTAGAAAATAAGCAGAAAAACTTCAGAGAGGTTTTAAAGGGATTTTTTTTTGGTTTCCCATTGGCTTTGGAGGAAATGAACAGGAAGACAGTAAGTCCCTCCTAAAACGCACAAGCTTTCTGTAGGAATATCTTCCGCGAGTGTAAAACTGCTTACAGAGGAAGATTACAATTTTTGTAATAACTAAATAAAGTAGAAAAATATGATGCAAGAGAGGAAATTAGCTGCCATTTAGAGAGGAAATTAACTGCCATTTTTTAAGTTTAACCAGATTTATATATTTTTGTCAGTTAAAAAAAACATGCCAACATTAGGATTAAGACCACAGTTTCTTATAAAATCAATAGAAGCAACTTTGGGTCCAAAATAACCTCCAAAAATGGCTGTATTTAAAAAATTAAAGATAATTTCATCTTTTTCATCGTTCCTTTCATCTTAAAATGTAATTTTCCAAAAATATTTTAGTTGCATTGTTAGAGCTTTCCACCAATCTACATTTGCCCTAACTCATACCTGGGCACAGTTCTTGAGCTGCCGTGCTCATGCCGCTGCTTCCTCTTCCCTTGCCCTCGGTTCCCGGGGCACTAAGCTCAGGCAGCGTTGTGACCCTGGTGAAAAGGAGCCCACCAAACATGTCTTTCCCAGGTCCCAGCTGTTGGAGCTGTCAGGGAGAGGCAGGTTCTCTGTGCTGGCTTCGCCCCTTTGTTGTCTGTGTCCTTTTTATGGGAGATTGCGAGTGGCCGTAGGGCGCTACGTAAGGCACGGTATGTGTGCAGTGCAGACGGGCCTGTGATGGATTGTCATGATCTCCAGTTCATCTTTCCTCGGTGAATTTCTTTATATATTTTCTGTTATATTTTATAAGTTTTCCTGAGGAGCCAGGAGGGTAATGTAGTACCAATCTTTTCCCTGTTTCTATCTAAATTCAGTAATTGACATTATGGTTATATCTCATATCTTCTATTTTCTCTCCAAAATTTAAAAAAATAATCATGTTTCCATCTTATGTGGAAAAACATAATTTATGGCGATTTTCCTCATGCAACATTATTTTGCTCTAATTTCCATTGCTGGATCTGACTAAACGCACAGCAATCTAATCTAATTTTCACATCAAGAAATCTGACAGCTCTTTTCCCCTTGATGTCAAAATGCAGCTGAACTAAGAAAATGATAACTGTGTAGTACAACTGCTTTGGTAAAGAGTATTCATGAGTTGGTCTGCATGAAAAATTGTTGCCAAGGCTCTTTTCAGCTGGGAAAATTACCACACTTTTAAAATAACTTATACCCTCCAAAAAGAGGAAAGAGGCATCTGGTCTTCTGAAAAGCAAAGATGAAAGCAGGTTTGAAAGAAAGCAACAGGGAACATTAGGCAAATGCGTATTTAAGAGGCGATGCGTGAATGCTGGGGGTTAATTCCATGGCACTGTAATCAAATGGATGAGGGAAAAATTAATCTCTGCTGCTCCATTTTTTCCTGTTAAATATTTATATTTCTTAGAGCTGAAATGGAAAGCAAAACGTGATCATCGATCTGAAAGGCTGAAGATAATGGGATCTGATGCCTTTTTTCTCCAGGCTCTTGTTGCACACGCGGTCCAGATTGATGTTCAAAGCCCTGCATGAAGCACAAGTGTAGAGTATTGGCCCAGGGCCCAGTCAACAGGTGTCCACATTATCTAAAACCAGCACAATATGCATGACTTGTCCTCTTCTTGTCCTCTGTGGCAGGGAAGCCCTTGTTACTATGGATTTTGAACTAGACTTCTCAGGCTCTGAGGTGGCAGTGTGAGGAAGCCTGCCTTCCGGCTTCCTGCCCCCTTCCTCCTGCGTGCAGCAGCGCACCTTTCCCCCACCAGCTCTCAAGCTCAGAGCATCGCTGGCCAAGGCACTGTGACCAGGCTGACCTGCACGGCTTTCGGGTGGTTTTGTCACTGTCTGTGCCTTCTGGCAACTCCCTGGCTACACTTCCGAGCTGACAATACACCTTTGTGGCACATCAGGCTTGCTCTTCAGGCCATTCTCTCCTGTTGGTCTTTGCTTCCTTGCATCCTGGACCTTTGCCAGTTTATTCCAAGGCTAAATTGCCAAACATGTTCCTTTTCTGCTACCTCCTTCCGCTCCTCCTTCTGCAACCAGTATTCAGGCTGTACCAGGAGGCATGTACACGTGTGTGTATGGCACACACATGTGGTACACTGGCAGAGGGTGCTGCTCTGCTCCTCTCACCTGCCATTGTTCCTCCGCACTCCTTTGTGTGTGTGGGGACCAACTGTTCATCACACAACCTAATGTTGCCCCTTCCGCTATCTTTCCCTTCAACCTTTTTCTTGTCCAGCCTTTCCCCTCCCAGGTAAGCCTGTGAAAAAGGTGTCCGTGACAGGGAATGCATGAAGGAAATGAAAATATACCCAGCTACTTTGTGCTGTTTGCATGAGGGGCAGATTCCAAGCAAGCCTTGCAAGCACCTCTCTGTTGGGCCATCGAGCTCTAATCTAGCTCCCCACATGTTTTCTTACTGACTGTGATCAGTGTCAGCAGCGAGCTGTGACACAAAGCTGGGTGCTGACAGGTCCAGTGGCTGCTCTGCCTGTGGCCCTGCAGGGAGCAGATGGCGCCTCAGAGCGCTTGAAAGGGCATCAGGAAGGGCCACAGCCAGCGCAGGAGGTCTCGCAGCCAGGACAGAGAGCTTACCGAGAAGGGTCCCCATGGGAGAAGCAGAGGAGGAAAGAGAGAATGAACATCATCAGATTAGCAGGCTGGCAAGAAAGGTTTTCCTGCTGTTCTTCGTGTCACACCAGTTCTATGAATTATTTTTCAGTGTTTAGTTTGGCTTCCTTTGTGAGATTGAGTACTTTTCTGTGATGAGGGAGTCCCTGTGGAAAAGATCATGGGTTAGCAGGGATACTCTAGTGAAGAATCAGCCAAAGTGATTTTTTTTAATGTCCCTGTGATGCCAATGTGACTATCAGAATGCTTGGTAGCTGTAGAAGTCGTGTACATGTAACTATTTGCATTGGTCTGTATATTTCTGTTAGCAGTTAGAAACGCCTAAGTGATGTGCACTAAAGCATGTTTTGTGCTGCTGCTGGGTGTATTTGCAGGCATGCTTAGGAATTTGTCTGCCTAACACAAATCACTTTGGACAGCTACAGTGTGTTCCCCTGAAGTGGTTCTGCATAGATAACTGGATTATAGTTCCTGCTGTTAATGTTTGATCTTGATTTTTAGATCATTATGTTTCCTTTTTTGGAAATGCTTGAAACTGTGTGGTGGTTTACCATCTGTTAGAAAATATGTATACCCATTTTCAAAATCATGTTAAACTTCAGATTTATTTTATTTGCAGGTGCACACAGCAAGATGCTGCACTTCACGGGACAATATCTGGAAACTGGCAGCTAGAATGACCTGCTACTCAACCCTTGTTGAGAGGGAATCTCACACAAAAATTGAAACTTCCCCAAAATCAGTTGCTGACCTAAATGACAGTGGGAAGCTTCAGAGTAAAATGAGGAACATATTTTACAATACAAGTGTTACTCTTAAGAGGGTGACCCCATGTTAATTTCAACAAATTCCAACTCACCAAAAGTCAGTGTTTTATTGCATGAGAAGCTCAAAAGTATCATTCCCATGTGAGAAATCCCGCAGACGCTTGCCTAACATGGAAGACAACATGGATGCAAAAAATGTATTTGAAACACAGGAAAATATATGCTGCCTTAGGGGTGCATCAGAGAATGGTGATGACCTAATTAATTTTAACAGTATGGTCTGCGTCGCTGCTGGAGAAGCAGAGAAATACTGCATCAGTCAGGTGCATTCCCACCCTACAGATCTAATCACTGATCACACAGACAATTGTTGCCTTAAAGTGGAAGACTCGATTTCTTGTCCACCTCCAGCTGAAGTCCAGACACATGGAAAGACTGGGTTCAGTAGACCTCTAACCATGAATGCCGTGTTGAGTGAGCAGGCAGATACTCCCGTAGTAAATCAGAATTATTTTACAAAACATGATTCTGAAAATTCTGGAGGCATTTTGGAGGCTTGTGCAAGTGTAAGTGATGACTTTTCTGATGATGTCCTAGAGTATTTTGAATGTTCAGATGTGCTGACAGCACATGAAAATGAAATCTGGGAAAAGAAATTACAGTTTTTATTAGAAAGCGGTGATGAAGATGATTTAAAACTGAGTAAGGATTGTGATGGGTGTGCTTACTTCCTCAGTGAGATGCCGTGTCTGTTCCGAGTGTCAGATAACACTACGCCTATGGATACTACCATTGGCTTCTGTGGTCATCACTCAAAATTCAAAGGAGTAAATGTAAGGAGAGACCCCTCTACATACAGCCAGTCAACTTTGCAGGCAGAGATGACTCTAGCTGTTGGACAACACCGAGATAAAACTACCAGTGTGAAAGACGAAGAGAAGGGTAAAGTGCCTGTTGCATCTGCTGTCATTAAAAATGAGTGTCTCCGAACTGAAGAAGAAAATAATGGAATTGGCCAGACAGATTTCTCAACCAGCAAACCTCAGAATGTGGATAATGTACATGCAAAGGCGGACTCCTCTACTGGTGGCATAGGTACTGCTTTGACAAATCAGGCTTCAGAGACAATGACAGAAAGCAAGGTGGACGAGAACTTGCTAGGTGAAAACTCATTGCTGCTAGAGGAGGGGAGAAGAAATTCATCAGAGGAAAATGCAAGGCATGCTGTCTCTACCTTAACAGAAACTCTAACAAGAAACCTTTTAAAGTTGCTAAACCCTATAGAGCTCTGCAGATATGTTGGTAATATAGGGCAATCTTTTCAGGCTGCTACAGAGGTGAGGGAATCCAGTGCTTTGTTTCCCAGTCAGGAAGGAGTCTTTTCAGCACAAATGTGTGAGGAGACAGAAAGCTTGCAAATGCAGGCTGGTTTGTGTCGTACAGAAGAGGCGGATAAAGACTGTCATTGGGAACAGAAAAAGACTCGGGGCCCGTCTGAGCAAAATCAGGTGCCAGATGACAACGTCTCACCCAGGGTAAGTAAAGTGCTTATCATTTAACAGAAAGAGTGGTTTGACTGATTTTGTTCCTGTTTGTCACAAAATAATGCAAATTTAAATTACTTTGAAAGACACTATTCATGCACTTCTGAATGACAGCTACGTCTGGGAAGGAAATCTGGTTTTGAAAAAGGCCCAAATAAACCATAAGCTGTTCTAATTATAGAGTGAGACTGATAATAGTAAGAGGCACTAATGGGACTCTGGACAGCTGGATAGAGAAATCTGATATTTAGGCTATTGCATAGGTCTTATCAAAGCAATGTTTCTTTCAACTCAGAAGTTTTCTCACATCCCTGTTGTGAGCAGAGAACATTTTGATTTACTTTCTTTTCAGTTTATACTCAAAGAACAAAATTGTGTACAGTTACGGAGCTGGAAATTTAAAACAAGTAAACAGAGCTTTGCTCTGAATTCTATCAAGGGGGGAGAATTTAATCCAGAGAATTAATGTTACAGAAGAGTATGGACCTTTTCTTTTTAAAAGTAAATCAATGAAAGATTTAGGTATTCTGTGGAAATGTAAAGAGCAATTACAAATCAAAAACCCAAGCTGATACCCTCCAAGTACTTAAATATGTTATGCTGTTGGGTAGGAAATTGACCAGGGAAATCAGTACAGATGTGCTGACTGATACGATGCCCCACCAGTTTTCATAACCAGGAGAATTGGATCATACTTTTTATTTCACATAGTAAAGTCTGAAGATATATATTTATGAGTATTAAATCATGAATAATCTTATTATCACCCACTTCGCTGATTTTAAAGTGCATAGCCAAGTGCACAGAAAAACAGTTATGACAAATAAGCACAAGCTTTTTTTCACATGCTCTACTTCATCTGTATTCTTTAAGCAAAGATCTCTCCCAGTTCTGAATCACAGATTGACTTTAATCTGACCGCTGGGGTGTCTTAAGCAATGAAAAATCACTGATTTCTTCTGCCTGAAAAGCATCCATAAGTTTCTCTGTTTTTATGGTACATAAAATTCCAATCACAGTTTAGCAGCACTTAATATTCTTATGATGGAGAATAGCCCCTTATTGGAATTAACCTACTGAGATTTTCTTGACAGTGTGTGTTGCCATGGTTTGCATGAGGCTTTTTTTTCATTTTTTTCAACTTGCGGTATAACCATTTAAATCCCAGAACCCTACTAGCACAGAGCAGCTGTTATGTTACTGTAAGTGCTGTGGCCAGGTTTCAGATTGGCGAGTTCAGATTAGACTCCTGCTACCTGCAGCCAAGAGGTATTAGTTCTTTGAGCATCCATGACCAAAACTCTGTATTAGTTAAAAATTAAGTAGGAAAGAAATATCAGCGTACAGAAAAGGGCTAGAGATGAGCAGAAGCCAAACCCTGTGTTTTAGACAGTCCTTGGGTACAGGATAACTCTGTCAAGTGGTTAGCATACTCTTGTTCTGAGTATTACATTTATACCATGTGCCACAGGTCCAACAGGCGAGTCTGGCAGGCTAGACTTGTAATTTGTACAAGTTTAAATACAGAACTATGATTTCTTCTTTCTGTCAGGGTAGGGTGATAGTTACAAACCAGAAACCTCAGATGTTGACAAATACTTTAAAAAAACAAACAACAACAACAACAAAAAACCCTTTCATTTCAATTTAGGTCTACAGTTCAGGCCTGTGTCAAGCAGCAGTCCCATTTTTTAATTCTATCACTTTTTTTTTTTTTTTTTTTTTTTGTAGAATCAAGGTGCCAGTCTTAAAATCTCTATCCAGAATTGTGATAGAGAATGTATGGAGCCTGAAATAGCAAAGGAAGGCATCCTCATAACCTGCCAGAATGCAGAAAACATCCATTCAGCTTCAGAATGTACTGAAAAGCCACTACAAGCAAAAAATGGAAGTTTACAAACCTATTCTCAACACTGTGCTCCTTGTGATAAGAGAGAAAGTTGTCACCAGCAAGTCTTCTGGGAACAAGGGAAGGATATTAGTAGTAATGGCAACAAATCAAAGAAAGACATTTCACCTTTTCCCTTATGGGACGCAGACTCTGTTCCTGATAAACAAGAAAGTTTATGTGCTGTTCTCTCTTCTGCAAAGCTGTGTGATGAGCCAAAGGAGGGAGGGCAAAGGTATGGTTTTGATTCGCATGATGGCAATGACAGAGATACTCTCTGCAGTGTATCATGTGATGAGTCTCTGTTTGAAGCTAATCCCAAGTCAGTTCTGGAATCTGGAGAACCTGGGTGCAAAGGAGATGCCGATTTATCTGCAGTGCATGACAAGCTCTGGAAACTTCTTCAAGAAGATGACTCAGACTATCAAATCCCATTTGAAAACTGGGGAATCACAAGTTTGGAGGTAAGGCTGACAGATACCAAAGTCACAGAACCGAACTCTGTGCAAGAGACCTGTTCTGATCATCCTTTGCCCTCAAATTTCGTAGAACAGCAGGAACCTATTACACAGCCACCTACTAGACAAAGAACAGAGAAAGAAGACTGCAGTGTCTCTAACGTCCTACTGAAAACAGATGAAGCGTGTAACAGTGCATCCATAGAAAACTTTTCTCTTACACGAGTGGTAGAAGCAGATGGTTTATGTATAAGTTCTAGCACTGAAAATAAAACAGAAACACCATCCACTTGTATTTCAGAAAATAGTATCTTAAATACAGAGGAGTGCTTCGAGCAGAAGCCAAATCAAACATTAATTGTCAATAATGGAGCTGTTCAAATGACTGTTTCTCGGGAAGGAAAGCTTACCGTTAATAACACTTTCCAAACATGTGATACAGATTCTCAAAGATTAAAAAATGCTCAGAGTAGTAACTTAGCATGTGATAAACAAAACCCAGCTTACATGTCAGATAAGTCACGTTGGACAACTGGACAATTACCTCATACTGAGCAGAACATATCCTTGATAAATGAGAATATGACTGAAACCACAGATGAAGATGCTGGTAAAGACTGTCATTTTAAAGACTGTTACCTAGAAAGAAAAAAACTGGTGTATTTCCCTGAGGAGAAAGTTATTTTCCTCAGTAATTCCTCTGTTGAAAATACCCATCAGTTTACACATGAAAAACACTCTTCTGTTAACACCATACATAGAAGTTATGAAAATAATTTACCAGAAAAAAGAAATCACTCAGAGTTGAATGCACAAAATGGCACTAATTGTAGCAGTTATCATCCTTCAAAAAATTATGACTCTCGAGATTTTCAAGTTGTTTCTAATACACAGAAATATAGTTACCCAATGAAATTGCCTAATTTCATTAAGACTCCTGAAACCATAACATGTAAGAATCTACCCCAAAATGTGCACCAAATGACAGAATTAGAAAAACAAGAAGTGATGTTCACTGCCTCTTCTGAGAGTCCCCTTTTAACAGATTTCTTGGTAAAAGTGCCCAAATATGAGCCAAGTAAACCAGGAAAAGAACAGAGAGCCATTTTCATAGGTGATGAACAAAGGGCTGAAGCATCCTGTGACTCTGGAGTCAGGCATGTTTCAGAGAGTCAGCCTGCAGTTTCCCCTCATAACGTGTCTGAACAACATTTATTTTTTGCTGACAACACCTTTAAGTTTGACGAAGAGTTAAAAACAGGTTATTTGAAAAGTCCCACGTATGCCTCTGGGAATGTAACGTCAGTGTCAGTAAGTACCCTGCTGCCTAGAAAGGTTCAGAATGAGTACTGCACAGTAGCGAAGGAAGATTGTAGAGACATCGGTAATCAGATGGATCTCCAGCAACAGAGTGTAAGAGAAACATCACCATTCATACCTGTAAGGCAGTCAGAGGGCTCTCTTAACAGTGTAGCAGCAATGGGGTGTTCTGGCACAGGAAGTCACGTACAAACAGAATGCACACAAACTGCTGTCAAAGGAGATGAAAAATTGACTGAGTTGGAAGCTTTCTGCGAAGCATTGCAGGATCACATCCATAGGGTACCAGAAGAAAATAAGGAGGAAGCGATCTTGCGTGGAAATAAACAAGAGATTCAAAGAACTACTGAATACAACCTGGATGCTGCTAAAATGAAGTCTCCTTTGCACGCTTTAATTAGCTCCAAGGCTCAGAGGCGGATTAGGAATAGTATCGCTAAGCAGTCCTCTCCTGACTTGATCACTTCCAGCAAGCTGGCTGAGGTTGATTGTTCAATTAAGTCTACTGAGCATGATAAAGACGAAGGAGTCATGACTTCAGAGACTGCACTAAGTGCTTTAGTTAACCTGCCAGCAGTTGATTCGGGGGACAGCCGCTCTCTTCAAAGGCAGCCACCCTACAGCAGGACTCAGCCACATTCCTTAGCATTGGCCACATATGATCCGTTCTCAGTCAGTGTGGAAAGGCCAGAAAATCAAGAAGGGTCAAAGTCCTGCCAGACATCACCAACTGTTGCTGAGTCTGAGCCCATCAAATGTAAACACACAGCAAAGAGTGAGAACTTAGCTACTGGAGCAAAGAAGAAATTACCACCAGCAACACTGTCGAAAAAACCCCGACTGGAGGAGAGAGGAAATGTCAGCAAGGATCCTAGCTGTGTTAGAAGTGAGGCAAACATGATTCATAAAGAAAATAGAAAAGAGCAAAGGAAACTAATTTTGAAAAAGGATAGCAAAGGTAAGAGAAAACTGATTGTCATTTCTGTCCTTTCCCATCCTTCTGACTCCAGTAGGAAGTTCAAATTCATTAAACCCACTGCAAGCCTCCCTCAGTTGAAATCTTAGCAGTCAAAAGTGTCCTGCCCTCACTGATGTTATTTACAGTTCTGTAACTTAATAACTATTGCTATCCTCATGCCACAGAGCTGGTACCTCCCTAGCATCCTTTTCCCTGCTGACAAATATATTTATTATTTTTTATCCTTTTTGAAAAGCCTACTTTTCACTTGTCTCTTCAAGTCAGTTTTCAGGGCTGTGTAGCAGGATGGTAGCACCTAACTGCACACAACACAGTGGCGGCAAGCCCAGTCCTAGCATGTCATTTCGTTCCTGCAGGGCGGTGTTCCCAGTTATGCTCCCACACTGCAGCTCCCAAATTCAATTACTCTCTCTTGGTTACCAAATGGTTTTACTGCTAGCAAAGTATTATTGTTACTTGTAGGGTGCCACTGATAAACAGAATGTTTTGCAGTCCTGCCTGATGACTGATGGCTGGTTCTGTATCCCTTTTCACCACGATTGGTCAGAAATGACACTGATGAAATTAGCATTATTAAACTGACATAAGAAGCACATAATTCAGATGAGAATTGGGTTGCTTGTCAGAGTCTCCAGGAGATTGCTAACGGATAAAATGCAGACAGGAGTAGTAGCAGCATAACAGCTCGACAGATGAGGTGTTTGTGGTTTCCATGGATACTTTGCAAGGGCCAAGGTCTTATCTTTGCCTTCTGACATTGTCTTTTATGTTCACATCATGAAATAATTTTAAAGATAAGAGCAAGACTGAATAGTGACTAATGGTAGGCTAAACAGCTCTGAAGCTCTTCAAAGATTCAAATTATAGTGAAGTCTGGTCAGAGTTCAGTTTTCCAATCACATAGGAAGAAAAAAAAAAACAACTTTATTCAAAAATGTGTCCTTTGCAAGCATGTTTGTCTACAAGAAATGACTGTGAAAGGGAATAATGGGAGACGAGCTATACTGAGCAAGAAAAAGGACTGGACACGGTGAGAATTTGCTGTAGGTGTCTGCTATACACCTGCAGGCCCACTAACGATAACTGAGAGCAGAGCTGAAGTGGCAATTACCAGAGAACCAAATGTGTGGGAGAAGGAGAGACACATTTCTTCAAAGTAGAACAAGCAAACTGCAACTACTGAGAAAAAACAGACCTCTTCCATGTATCTGAGCCTATACTTGAAAAATGTTGTCCATATTCAGGCTGAATTTTGTTCTCCTGCTTCTGTTCTGCTGCATTCTAGACTGAAGGGAATGTGTGTTTGTATTTTAGAGTGTTTGCATGGGCCTTTTCCCGACATTACGGGGAGGTTGCCGTGGTTAGCCCAGTATGCACTCAGAGTGTGCTCCTGTGTGTTTTTTTACCTCCAGGAGAAAGGGCTTTGTGGGTGAGGCAGGAAAACTGGAGCCTTTAGTTCTATTTCCAGTACTGTCGCATACCCGGTGCTGTTTTAGCCCTGATTCAGCAGGATTCTTAGGCCTAAGGACTTAAGTGGCTGCAAGTCAAACATAGCAACGAATTCCAGGTGCCTGACCCTTTGGGTCGGATTTAGCATTCCTTAGGCGTTAGGTGGGGAAAGTTAGACTGCTGGCAGGGGACCAGCGAGGAGATGTGTCATGCCAGCTCACTCAGAAGAGACTGGAGCGAGCCAACAAACAGCTTTAGCAGAGAGCCAGGTTATCGGGACCTTCCTGGACTCGGCAGGGTGCTTTATTTCTGGAACCTGAATAATTCTGCGATTTTCTCTGCACAGCGGTCAGCGTTTAGTAAAAGAACCATGTCCTGGGTCTGGAAAAGTAGGGACTTGCTTTAGAAGCAGGAAATTGATTCTTTGAAGTAAAGGCCACTGCCGTTACCAAATGCCATGTCATTGCTAGAGCAAATATCTAACCAGAGTGTGGGTTCCTCCCTCCAGCTGTGTTTTAAAAGAAATGAAGCCCTCCCTGCATCTTGAAAAACACCTGATCCTGGCCGTGTGCATTAGGTGTGCTCGGAGCCTGGGCATCTCCCGGGACTTGGAGTCATTTCTCTCAAAGGCTGTGATTAGTTAAAAAAAATGCACCACATACAAGGATTCAGTTGATATAAACTCTGATCATGTAACCATATGGTACGCTGTACCATTTTGGTGTCTCATTTTTAGCTTCAAAGCCAGCTGATTCTTCAGTCAGAGAGAATGTGTTCATAGTAAGAAACAATGTTATTCTGATGTATTTTCAGACTAGAAATTCCCTTTGGTCCTGTTCCATAAATTCAGAATGTCTTTGCATTGAAAACATTTCCATTGGCTAGGTGGGGCATTGAATCAGTCTTAAAACCTCCGTATTTTAAAACCTTGGTTTCTGCGTCAGAAAAAAAAGTAATATTTATCAGTAATGTCAGATTCATGTGAACAATATCTGCAAAATGTTCTGGGATTCCTTTAAACTGCCAAAACACTGTAATTATCTTCTAATCCTAAACTGTGGCTCTTCTGTTTCAAGCTCCCAAGCTGCTGAAGAAAATCCAAGCAGAGTTGTTCCCTGACTGCTCTGGAAATGTTAAGCTGTGCTGCCAGTTTGGAGACATTCATGGGGACTCCACCATTACATGGACTAAAGACTCCAAGTTACTAGCTCGACTGCAGAGAAAGTGAGTAAATGTTTCTGATGGGCTGCTAATTTCTGAATAGCGGTTGAGAAAATACTAAATGTGCCAGTAATTCACTCTTTAATGTAACAACATTAGTATGATAGGTGCAAAAAATAAGTTAAAATAGGGTAATTAAGAAGTATTTTTCACACAGAGCATTAATATTTGTTACAGTTTGCATTCCATCACCTGCAATTCCTCTCAGCCCATTCATAACCAGTCTCATCCAACTTCCAAGTACAGTAAAAGATCATCTGAAGTTTCAACCTCAACACCCAGGCCAAATGATATAAACACGCCTGGTTAATATGTGGCGGGCTATCTGTCCTTGTGTGGTGGTAGTGAATTGCTGAAACAACTAACATGCAATGTAGAGCTTGATGTGATCACTCCTTTGAACTTTATATTCCGTATCAAATGGAGCTTGAAGCTGGTTGGACTAAAAGATGGAGTTGCATTTAAGGAAAAATGATCTCTTCCCTCTGCCCAGCCAGTTAACCTGACTCTGAGTGACTAGAGGCAGGGCAATGAGAAGACTGGAAAACAAAAGCTTCCTACGGCCTTTATCAGGGTCTTGTCCAGCTTCTCCTAAAACAACATCTTTATGGAACAAGTTATTTTCTTCCATTACAGTAATAACCTTCTTATAAAATAGCTCTTAAAATTTGTTTATAGTGCTTCAAAAATTAAGTTAACGGTTTCCAAAACAAAACAAAACAAAAATGTTTCTATCAGAAGGCACAATTTTGCAAAAATCAAAAATATTTATAGGAAGGCATCTGCCAAGATGCTATTTTAAGTTGAGAGGAAACATTGAATGAATTGGATAGACTACTCGTATTATTCTGATTCTTGTTTTAAGTACACTGATTTTGATTATTGCATTACCATATTGGTAATGGATATTACCACAATTGTTTTATTGTTATATAATATTATCTGCTAAGTAATGTTGCAGTGTTTCAATAAGGAAACTGCATCGATAACAAATTAATTGTTTTTGTAGTGACAAGTAAAGTATGTGGTAACAAAATATTTGAATTTTCACTTCATGGGATAACATGCCATTGTTAAGTGTTTTCAGATATTCCCATGCAGAGTTTTTTCAAATATTTTAAGTATCAATGAGAAGACACCCTTTATAACTTCTTGGAGATATACCCTATCTTACCATTACCATCACACTTTACATATTTGCCATGGCATGAATGGGAAATTTAGAATGCCTTTTGGTGTGATTCAATTCGTTTTATCTGGATTAAGTTGAAGTACTTTTCTCTCAGAATATAGTATGATCAGCTATTGTGAAACACTTAATAGGGTGAATGGTTCTAAATGGGGTGAAATGAAATATTTTCTCTACTTGCAGCATATTTGAATCGGTCTTGGCAATGACAGGCAGAAATTCCAGGAACAGATACATGGAAATATCTTTTAGAGGTATTAATGTGGAAAATTAATATATTCTGTTCCAGTGCCCAGGATGACTCTCCTGTCTCTTTGGCGATAGCTAAAGCCAGTGACAAAGACCAAGGAATGTATTATTGCTGCTTGAATAATATATATGGAAAGGTAACTGCGGAGTTTAATCTGACTTCTGAAGGTAAATCCTAGTTTATAATTTGAATTAATAACAACAATGGCAGTTCTCATTCATGCTTCTTGAAAATCTCTTTGTTTCCTTGTAGTCCTGGAACATCTTTCAAGTTTTCAGAATTTTGAAGGTAAGTACACACGTCTAGTTAATTGTGTGCTTAAATCTTTGTTCCTTCTTATTTTCAAATAGAACAAAAGATGGAAAAATATAACCAAAATAATTAGCAGTATTTTCACCCAAGATGTGTACCTTCTGATTTGGTGGTACAGACTATTTTCAAATCTTTTTACCACCCAGGTAAACTGGGTCTACAGTTGCTTAACATTATCAGAAAGTTACTAAGAAGCTGCACTGTCTTTGTGAATTTGACCCAAGATATGATAGTGTGAGCTGTAAGGAGCACTTCTGAACCCTCTTAATAAGAAAATGAGCAGATATACATAAACAGTTATAACGAACTGTGTTTGATTAGGAAATGGCTAGGCTGTAGTAGTGCAATCAGTTTCAGTTGAGTCACCTAATTTGTACTAAATCATAATCCTTGTTTTTATCTCTTGTCCATTTATAGGATCATAACATAATTCAGGTTGGAAGGGACCCCAGAGGGTCATCTTCTGCTCAAAGCAGGGTTAACTGTGGGGTGAGACCAAGTGGCTTAAGGCTTTATACAACAAGATCTTGAAAACATCTAGGGATGGAGACTGCACGGTATCTCTGTGCCACTGCTTGACTGTTCTTGTGAAAAAGTTTCTTCTTATATCCAGACTGAACATCTCTTGTTTCAATTTACATCAGTTGTCTGTCATCCTCTCACTGTGCACCATTGTGCAGAGCTTCATGCCATCTTCTTGATAAACTTCATAGTTTTATGCGCCAGCTGCTGTTAGGTTCCCTGAAGCCTTCTCTTTTCCAGGCTGAGCAAGCCCCATTCCCTCAGACTCTCTTCATATGCCAGGTGCTCCAGGCCCCTCATCATCTTGGTGGCCCACTGCTGAAAGTGGTTCGGTTGTTTGAATGTCTTTACTGTACTGGGGGCCCCAAACTAGATGCAGTGTTCCAGCTATGGTCTAAGGAGGACTGAGTAGAGGAGGATAATCACTTCTCTTGATCTGCTGGCTGTCTTACTGTTGACACAGCCCTGGTGCAATTGGCCTTTGCTGCCAGGGTGCACTGGCAGCTCATATTCATTTGTGTCCGTAAGACTCCCAGCAGTGTCCTTTCAGCAGAGCTGTTCCCCAGCCAGGCTGTGCTGTTGCAAGAGGCTTTTCCTTCCCAGGTGCAGGACTTTCCATTTGCCCTAGTGGAATTTCATGAGGTTCCTGTTGGCCCAATCCTCCAGCCTATGCGGGTTCCCCTGAGCGACAGCCCTGCGCTAGAGCATGTTGTCTGTTCCCCCAGTTTGATGTCACCTGCAATTTTATGAGCAAACACTCCATTGCTTCTTCCAGGTCATTGGCAAAGATGTTAAAAGAGGACAAGGTGAAGATTGGACCCCTGTGGTACTCCGCTTGTTACATTAACCACTGCTTCCTGAGCCTGATGATCTCACCAGTTTTCTACTCATATGCATATTCACTTGTCTAAACTGGATACAAGAATATCGTGAGACAGCTTCAAAAGCCTTGCTAAAGTCAAGTTAAATGACAGCCACTCCTCTTCACATCTCAACAGATCCAGTTATTTTATAACAGAAGGTCTGGCAGGTTTTAACCCTTATCTTCCTCCTTCTCCTTCATGGTTCATAAATATGTTCCAAGACAATTCACTCTGTGTTTTTTTCCAGGAACTGAAGTGAGGCCACCCAGCCTCACTTCCAGTTCTCTACATTGTTCTTTTGGCCTTTTTTGAGGATGAGTGCAATGCTTGCTTTCCTCCAGTCACTAGGGTCCTCTCCTGACATCCATGACTTTTCAAATATTCAGAGGGTGGTCTTGAAAGGACATCAGCCTGTTCTGTCAACACATGTATGCAGCCTGCCTGGTCTAATCCCTGACGTGATCCTCACACACTGGTGGTAGTTCTTCTCTTCCTTGAACACTTTCACTAAGCAGAGAGCTCTGAGAGGCCTTGCTGAGAATTCCAGCTGTATTTATGTCTCTGAATTACCCGTCCCATTCAGTAATACACCTTCAATTTACTTTTTCTGCCTTTTGTTACTGATGTAGCAGTTGCAGCTCTTTCCATTGCCCTTGATTATTCCTCAGAAGTGTCAACTACAGGTGCTGTTGAATGCGACACTGGCAACTCAAGGGCTAGCAGAAACAGTTTTGCAATACACTTTTTCAAAGACAGTCCCATGGCCCTGCAATGAAGGCCATGCATTCACAACAGCTGGCGCTGCATATTTAATACCCTGCATTTATCACTGTGTGCTCAACACACAGTTGGATGCAGCATTTCAGCAGCTGCTGCATTTTCAGCTAGTTCTGAACGCACAGGCCTTTTTCTCTGTCTACAAGAGGTGCATTACGTTTACACAAAATCTGTGTTTCAGGGGAGACAAAACAATTTAAGGAATATTTTGTTTGTTTGAGATACTCATGTCCTTAGTGATTTCCAAATCACACAACAAAGTCATCACAGTATAAATTCTAGTATGAGTTGAAAGAGGCCATACAGTTTGATTTCCACCAATACTGCTTGTTTTTGGGGAGTGGTGTGAATGCAGCTATTTACAACTCATGCTTGAATTCTCATGAGGATTAAGTACATTTACAAAGGTACAGGGCATGCACTGTGCAAATTGGAAAGTCTGTGCCTGATACTATCCAGGTGAAATTTCATTAAAGAACTGAGGAATACTCAAAATTCGGATGTGTGATTGGGTTTTTAATTTCTTTAAATCATAGAGAAGCTGAGCTCTGGGCTTCAGCTGTAGTACCTCACCCCTTTTAGATCTCAATCTGAAACGCAGTAACCAGAACACCTCAAACATTTCACTGGACTACAGAGTACAAGAGACATTTTGACAGTTACTCTGTCAGAAACTGTGGGAATCCCTCAAGCTGTTGAATCAACACTGTGTTTTTGCTACTTATTTTTCCTTTTTGTAGTCAACTCTGCTATATCATCAAAGATAAAATCCACTTGAATTCATGGGAGTTTCATTGGTGAAATACCTTCATGTAGGGTAGAATGCTTTGTGCAGGGGGGTGGAGTGCACACCATGACAGACTACTGATTTGAACTTGACTGACTAACTTCCCACTAATTTGATTCACTAGCACTTCGCACACAGTAAACAGTGAAGCAGCATTGCATCACAGTACACAGAGACAGAGACACACAGTGCACAGAAAGCTGCTTTGGCAGAAAAAACTTGCTAGTTGTGTTTGAACACATGGTCTTTGCAAGTCACCTGCTGTGTAACTTTACTCCAAGAGCCAGACAGGCATTAAGATTTGGAATGCTTTCCCCATATGTTATCTTGTGTTTAATCACACTTGGCATATGTCTTGCTGTGCTGCAGCTAAAGATAGACAGCGCATCACAAATTGGTTTATTTGAACCAATATCTGAACACACTGTATTAGGCAGGTTGTTCATTCAATCAATTGATTCTTGTTCTTGAAGAATAAAATTAAAGACAGGTGTTCTCACATAGCAGTACTGTGTAACTTCTGATTTACAGAGAATTGTAGGTGGAGTTAAGGAGCTTTCTGATTTATGTTCTCTGTGGTACTGTTGAAGTCCATGGTTAGGAATAAAACAAGTATTACTGTACCAATTTCTCTTTAATATAAAGATCACTCAAATCAATTACTCTCTGAATGACATTGATGGGGTCATCTGTAGAAATTTTAGAAATAGAATAGAAATCTTATTCAAAATCATGTAAGAAATAAAAATCCTGTTTTCTTCTGCCTTTGCTAATGAACCTGTTTTTAATTTGGTGCTTGGTGTGCCAGATTGTAAATAAATAAATAGTTCAGCATGCTAGTCTTCAGCACTGGAGCTTCTGTAGAGAATGTGGTTAGTACTAGGAGAGGCAGGTTTTCATTATGGTCATACCAGAGAATGTCTGAGACCTCTTTCAGCTGAATGCCTGTATGAACAGGTTGACAGAATCTCTTCCTGAAAAGGTTCTAAGCTGAAAGTTAAAACAAGCTCTGGTTGTATCAGCAAAAGCCACCCCCCCCACACACACTTCTTCTGGCTTTCCTGAAAAGAAAAGGAAGGCTAGCTTCAGGAGAATGTGATGTGCCTGGAACACAGTGGGCACAGAACTGTTCTACTTTTAAATTCATGTCTACATACACTGCTGCACATTAACTTTATTACGGTGTCTGTCTTCCCAAAACAGCAGTTGGACGGATCTCAGTATCCTCTCAATGCCTCTTTAGTTCTCAGCCAGCTTGACTTACTTCACATTCATTTGAAGCTCCAGTTTACAACTACCCTTACAGTTTTTAAATATTTGTTATATTTTCCTCTAAGTTTTGTGATACTTTCTGTATTCTTGCCTTATGAAACTGAGCTGCCACCTTTCTCTGTGTTAGCTTTAGACAATAGAGGCAACAAACTATGTTTAGAGGAGGGATGTTCCAGCCTCATATTAGCACAAGTGAGGACACGAGTTCTGCTTCCATAGAGCCTACTCTTTAATCCTCTGTGGAGAGATACATTCATCCTCCCATGTCCATCCCTTTCCCTGTGACTGCAGAAAGATGTGTTGAACAAAGTGGCATTGTGTTTTAGGTGTGGAAGAAATTGAATTCATGCAGCTCATGTTCAGAGAAGATTTCATCAGTGACAGTTATTTTGGTGGGAACCTGCATGGAATAATAGCTACAGAAGAATTTCACTTTGGTGAAGGCATGCATCGGAAAGCTTTCCGGAGTAAAGTGATGCAAGGCCTTGTACCAGTGTTCAGCCCTGGCCATCCCTGCGTTCTCAAAGTGCACAATGCTATCACGTATGGGACCAAGAGTAAGGATGATCTAGTTCAGAAGAACTACAAACTAGCACTGCAGGTAAGATTCCTCAGTCCTTTGCAAGCAAGAATTGTGGGGAAAAGCTGTCTTGGAAATATTCAAACAGCTGACCTATTAAGTGTTTTGAATAATATTCTATATGGATATCTCTTTGTAATATAGGAATGCTATGTCCAAAATACTGCAAGAGAGTATGCGAAGATATATGCAGCTGAAGCTGAACCTTTGGAAGGCTTTGGAGAAGTACCAGAGTGAGTACCACACATACACACACGTCTACGTGTGCCACACAGTCCTGTGCCTCACTTGCCCACCAATTGCTGGGGATGATTTCTAAAGAAGAGGAGTCCTGTGAACATTTGGAGTCATGACTCAGTAAATAATACTGTGTATCCAGGTGGCATGAGAGATTCCCTTTCCTTTAGAAAAAAAATAAGGAGTAGAGACAGTAAGTAGCAGAGATCTAGGAGTAAAAGGCCTGTTTATATTATAAATTTAGAGGAAATTAGAGTCATGTTGGTGGAGAATATAATGCTATTAATATCATCTAGTAAGAGCAGTAGGAAATAAGTCAGACCTTCCAACTTTCCCTTAAAAATGAAACCTTGAGAGAAATCATGATCACTCTGTAGCTGGTATGAAGTTACTTTTTTGGCAAGTTTCCTACGTAAAAGGATGCATGTCATGGAGTCATAGAATGGATTGGGTTGGAAGGGACCTCTAAAGATCATTTATCTCCAATCCCCCTGCTGAGGGCAGGGACACCTCCCACTAGATCAATTTGCCCAAAGCCCCATCCAACCTGGCCTTGAATTCTTCTGGGGATGGGGCACCCACAGCTGCTCTGGGCAAACTTTGCCAGTGCCTCACCACCCACATATTAAAAAATTTCTTCCTTATAGCTAATCTAAATCTACCCTCTTCTAGTTAAGCCAGCAAAGCTCAACTCTGATTCTAGATTTTCCCACAGAATGGTCTATTTCATATCTGAAATTTTCCATTTCACAAATATGTGTACAGAATTATCTCTGCCCCTGAAGCTGGGAGATGATGCCTTGCAGATTTGGCAATAGAACTTTTTCAAAGGATTTGCTGTTCCAGTGTCAAACTACTGTGTAGAGTTGAAACTGCAATGGATGGTTGACATTCCATCTGCTTTGTTTCAAGGATAAGACCTACGTGCTTGACAGCAGGCTAGATTTGTATCTCCTTTTAGATGATACAAGGTCTGCTAAGCTGCAATGATTTACGGAAGAAAAAAATAGAGTTGTGTTCTCAGCAGTGTCCATAAAAAATCAAGTCAATTGGCTTGAGGATCCTATCCACAGACAGTTAAATAAAACATTGTAATGCCCTGACTCAAGCTGCAAAATACGAAGCCTTTGCTAACCAGATACAGTGTGCAGTTTTCTTATTGCAAATTATTTTCCTGTCTTTACTAAGTAGGATAATTGATATCCATGCTATTCACAGTGGCAGCCATTTTACGCAGAACTGAAAGGGAAGAGGAAGGCTGGACCAACTCCATTTGGATGCTTTGTGTGCAGTGTGCATGCTCGGCATTGCTGTTTTATTTTCTTTGCAGCTCTTAGATAAAACTGTCAGTGTGATGTTGCTGGGTTTGTGAGGGAAAAAAGCAAAAAAATGAAGCTGTTACGTAAGCATTATAAAGGTAGCTATATTCTTAGAACTGTTTCGTAGCGTTTTTCAGTGAGTATTTTTGTAATTATACAATACAGTTTGAGCAAAAACCTTGTGGCTGTAACTGCTTCTACACAAAGGTTTCTCAAAAAAATGTAATTTCAGCAGTACTAAAAATGCAACCTCTGGAAAGGTTCCTTAAAGCAACCTTTACGGCGTTAGAAATAGTATTGGAGATGGCAGTGAAATCTTTAAGTGAAAATGTTTGTGCAGGTCAGCCTCTTTTCTGGAAACATATTGTTCCTGGTAAAATTTCTTTTTTAGAGATTTCTCTAGGTGTGGGATATAACCATCTAATTTTAATACGAGAGAGAGAGCATGCACTCTACAAAAACGAACTCTGGTGTAAATAGCAAGCACACAGAAGGTTAGATCTGGTTGCTTTATTCTAAGTAATTGGCTGGAAGACAGCAGCTAGCAGAGAAAAGAGATGATGTGAGCATACATGTTTTGGTTTGCTTTTTGATTTCAAAATTTCGGGGCTTGATTACTTTCTTCTAGCCTGTCCTTGTCAGAGCAAACTTTTATTTAAAGGAGCATTTTATAAGCGAAATAGAGCAAGAGAAAAGTCATCTGCATTCTCCAGAGTTGGCTTTAAAGCTACAGCCTTAGCCTATCTATGCACATTTGACTATAAAAGTGAGAAAAGGATAGAGAGAGCACTGCTGTATAATGAGCAGCAGACTGGCAGCTAGACACTTATAAAGAGATAGGAAGGAGAGAGAAAGGGATTCTGTGGTCTTAATATTGCTTATGATACATGCACAGTGGAGTTCTGCTAACACTTCTATTAACCCCTGACCCATTTCTTTTCCTTTAGTCTGGCTTTAAGAAAGCAAGCTACTAGAAACCTGTTTCACGTAAAACTGGTCACAGTCATCCCCCCATCTGTTCTGAGATAATGGCAGGAACACGTGTCAGCTAGTTGATAAAGTATGTTCATAAAGTAGTTGATAAAGTGACGAACTCCAGCTGAATGGCTTTCTAAAATTACCTCACAGCAGTATTAAATTCCACTCTAATATACACTGATGACGCTTTTTTGCATACTTCTAAGGTTTTAATTTTGGAGATTTATACTGTAATATTAGAATGTTGCCTAGTAAAAATGCTGAGTTATCCCAGTGTAAGCACAAGCAGAAGTAGTCTATCTGTGAGGTAAGGTACCACACTGCTTCTCCAGATAGCATTAGCTCTGGCAACCAAGAAGTTCATGTTGCCAGTGAAGCAAATACTTCCTTCCAACCTATTGTCTTTCTCACCTTATATTCAGTCTTTCTCTCTGGGAAGACCCTGAAACTCCAAGCAACATTTTATTTGATTTTATTATTTTATTTGATATTTTGTTATGATGCATCTTTAGATATAAATGGACCTAGCTTGGATTTCTTTGTCTTTCTGGCTAAACTAGGTCTCCTGGTTTGGTTGACTTGGTTGCTGTTCATTTACTCTCTGAGATCACTGGCTAATTTGTCTATTTCTTACTCTTTCCTTGCCAGAGCTCAGCGTGTTTTATTATTTTTCACCCTTTCATTTCAGGATTATTCCTATTTTTCTTGTTCATCGCCCCGCTAATAACATCCCCTATGCAACAGTGGAGGAGGAGCTGATTGGGGAATTTGTGAAATACTCTGTCAGGGATGGCAAGGAAGTCAATTTCCTGAGGAGAGACTCAGAAGCTGGCCAGAAGTGCTGCACCTTCCAGCACTGGGTGTATGAGAAAACCAATGGGAGCTTGCTTGTCACTGACCTGCAAGGTGAGTTGTCTGAGGGGGAACAGTAAAATGGCTGTGCTCATTGTCAGATCCCATAGCTTCAGGGCTTCCAGGGACTTACTTCTGAGCAATGTTATTCTTGGTATTCTGTGGCTCATTGACAATGCTGAAAGTGCTCCTCCTGTATCCTCGTAATGGGCAGTCTCCAGCTGGGGACAGTACCCTGGCCCACAGCTGATAATATGGTTAGGGCATCTTTGCACGTAGGTGTGCATACTGTGAATTGGTTTTGCGTAGGAGATTTTAGACTACACTACAGGGTTGCCTTATGCAGGATGTATGCAGAAGCAGTATTCCTGTGTTCATGTGGTTCATCTTGTGTCCTATCTGACAAATCTGCTTTCTGCTACTCAGGGTGTATTTATGGCTTGAGACTTGGTTTGGCAACTCTGGATCATGTTTCATGGAGCTGTGTATACATGCCATCACTCTCTCCATGAATAGATGTCTGATACTCTTAAATCCCATGTCTTGTTAATCCCATACATGATATATTGTTTACCCTGCACCCTGGAAGCTCCAGAAGTTTGTGTCTCTCAGCCTTTTGGTTTGGCCTTCTTGGATGGTCTTACCAGGAATTCAGGAGCCTTCCAAGTGTACTAGAGAGCAGTCCGCAGCGTAGGGCTAAACTGTTAATGTATATCTCAACCATTCTGTGATTCCGTGATGAAAAAGTTAAGTGCCATAACCTCCCACAGCCCTTGTCATCCTACATTGTGCCTTATTGAAGAAGTAGTGTGCCACTCTGATTCCCTCTCCATCAGCATGTTGCTGTTTGAGCCATTTAGCAGCAAGAAGTTGGGAGCAATGCTCAATCTGAATCTGTTATGCAAACAAGAATGTCTCATAACAGGAATTTTCAGTGAATGTTTATGTAATGGCTGCCACAGTAAAGATATAGAGCTGTGTGTGGACTCAGAGGCATCACAGCAATACAACTACATAACAATAACTCTACAAGATTAGTTTCATGAAAACCATCCCTCAAGATTAAAAACAAACTGCTATACAAAACTTTTTGTAATTCTTGAAATTGCAGTTTAAGCTACTATAGTGCCAGAGGAGGCAGACAAATTATTAAATGGGGACATCAGATGTATTTTCACTGAAATCTTTTTCAGTATAATTTAGGCACTGAGACTTACTCTTTGCAAGTGCCTTTGGCAAAGCAAACAGAGAAGTAATACAAGTGTAGATTTTTCAGACAGTTCAAATAGCATGTGCTCTTTTTATAAAGAATCTCATGCAGGTCAGAGTGAAAAATATGAGAGAGAGAAAGGATATTTACTTTTCTAGCCTCTTTTGAGTGCACTGTATTTATGTGTGTGTGTTACCCTAGGGAACAGAAAGAAATGCACGAGTTCCCTACTGTGGTAGCAGCAGCAAACACATAGTGACCTATGCAGTAGTATGACATTTAACTATTCAGCAGAGAAAGGGAATTTTTAACTAGCTTATATCGTTGTAAGAAAATAGTTTGGAAAAGGGAAAAATAAATCTTACACTCTTAATGGGAGAGTTGTCCTTCCACATGTCTTCTCAGTAAATCAGAACACTCAATATGAGTCATCTGGTTTATTATCTCACCTCCCAGATGTTAATGAAATGCCTCGTTGGTTAAAGATTTTCAGTTTTTAATAACATCCTACTTGTTCGCTTTTTTTTATATTTAAATACTTATCAACTGCTCCACATTTGTGTCCTGGCTGGGTTTGAAGAAGCAGATTCCTTCCAAAAAAGAATGGTGAAGAAGTACACCCCTCGCATACACCAAATGCAGTCCTTATGCTCCTATGGGTGTGACTCCCTCTCCCTGCTCCTATGCTGGGCCTGTACCCAACACAATATGCATACGTGTACTTGAAACAGAGAAAGGCAGATGCTGGCTAGAGAAATAGAGAAATACTTCCCGTATTGTTTAACATGAGAAAGCAGGAATCAGCAACATCTAAACGAGGCCCCTGAAATAATTAAAAGGGAGAAAAAAGAACAACAGCCTAGCCTGAGGGAAGGAAAATGACAGAAATGGTATCTGAACCTGTACAATGATTGTTTACAATGATTGTTGCCACAAAAGGACAACGTACCTGCTGCTGCTGAAGAGAAACAACCTTCCTCTATGATCATCCTGTCATTTGAATATTTGGCTGCATTTTTCAGTTGAGATTTGTGAGAGTGTTCTCCTAGGAAAATGGTCTTGAGACCATTGTTTTTCTGTACAGACAAAATGCATACTACAGAACTGTTTTTTGCCTATAAAGAAGTCAACAAAGGGACAGGATGAAAAAAAAAAAAAAAAAGTTTTGGAAATACTGAAGTATAAAAGGATTTGAGCTTTCTCATCCAAAAAGTAAAAACAAGGTTGACTGACCAGGTTGATTAGCAAAGCAAATACAAAATTCTTACTGATAAACTTTGTGGTGCAAGTTTGCAAAGCACCAAAAACATAAACCTGCAAGTGAATATAGGCAGGTGCATAAGTGAAGGCTTTAAATCATTCTTAAAATGCAGTCATGAAAGTGTATCCCTCCTGCCAGTGACTATCCAGACAGGAAATAAATTATGCTCTCTTTGTAACTTTGCTATCTGTAAATGACTGTAATGAGTTTGACTTCTAGTGATACAGTGCACAAACATCTTGGTTCTAATTGGGGTACATTAAAATGTTCAAAAATAGTGACAAATTGTTAAAATGAAAAAAAAAAAAGAATCAGTAAATAATACTTAAGGCTTCTATATATGGCTTTTTTGAATCTGAAAATATTGCAGAAATTCTACTGTAACACAAACTCTCTGTTTCCTTGATGTCTTGTAGGTGTAGGAATGAAGTTAACTGATGTTGGCATAGCAACACTGGCCAAAGGGTGAGTGAAAAATTGCTTCTCTACAGCTCGGTTTTGCTTTATGCATCAAACTCACAGTGTAAATATTTTGCGGGAGGTCCATTGGAAATTTATTCTTGCTTTAACTTTGGAAGAAAGCAATATGCATCAGACTCTTTTAAACTCCTCTTTTTGTTCATGTTTATGGGAACCCTTCTATAAGGGAAACACATTTGTTTTGTTTAAAGGGATGGATCTACACTGTAGATTGGGCTTTGCTTTTGCTTTATGCCTGCATTAAAATAGGCTTATTTACAGGGCTGCTCAAGAACGAAATCAAGGTCTCAGGTAACTTACAAACAGGCTACTTAGTATGTCAGCTGAAGGAAGGTAGGGCTGAAAAAGCAGCCTGGAGTACAGTGAAAGACCTGTTGTTGTCTGTGCTGTCCAGAGCTTCTGACCACAGGAAATATTTCTGATTCCAGCATGCTGTTGGAGCCAGAGCTCGAGCTGAGCTTGCACTCTCTAGCAACTGCCCCAGCCAATACAAATACAAGTGCTTATACATACCTAGCCCTACTACTAGATCCTGCTGCCAGTAGCTCAGATGACCCTTTCCCCTTTCTCTGTTCCACTGGAAGAAGAGAGAAAATCTGCCACTGTGGGATCTAGAGGAGTTGCCCTTTTTGCAAGGACAACGTGGGGGAACAAAGCTAAAATCCCTTTTGCAGCTAGCAGTGTCAATGCTTTAGAATATGTATTTCCAAAATGAGCTTTTACAGAGGCTCTGTTTTCAACTTAGAACCCTCTGAGTTAGTTTTTCTGCCTGTGGCGAAACAGAAGAGAATATCCTGAGTTGCAAGGGACCCAAAAGGATTGTCGAGTCCATAGTAGGCAGTGACCATTAACTTTTCCTGAGCTTGTGTTCTTGTCAGATACATGGGTGGAAGGAAGATGTCAGAATATTCTGGGAAAATTCTTAATGCTTGCAGGCTGGCATACCTTCAAAACTTACGTGGGTTTACTCTTTTAGCTGAAGGTCCAAAGTGAAATCAGTTGAAATATCATTTGAAATGAAATTGCATCGTCCTGTTGTAAAACAAAGAAGTCATACAAATTTTATTTGGGCAACACTGTTCTCTGGAATCAGGAGATTTATAGAAGGACTTCAGCTGATGTCATCCAGTTCACTATGGGCAATTACTCATATAAAAACACTTATTGGCCTAAGGAAGAGGAAGGTGAAGTGAGAAAACAAATATACAATGCAAGCTGTAGTAAGGATCATCTCAGTCATATGCAAGGGAATTCCCTTCATGTATAACCTCTTAAAAATATTGTCACTTAGTTTGACATATAGCTAATGATATTGCTACAAGACAAAAAATAATTTCTGGTTCTGTATCTTTCTTTCATGCTCCTTTCCCAGAAAGGACACCGCTGCATTAATAATCTGCCATTTGATTTTTAATTCAGTGAACCTGGATGGGAAAAACAAGTACAGAGAATTCATCTGTAGTACAGGTTATTGCTACCTTTGGTATTGTACGACCATGCTAGTGAGAGATTTTATATCTTACATGTCGGGGTGAACATACATAGTCATACTTAACCAGAACTTATAGTGCAATTCTGTTCTGTTTTTAACAGTATTGTTAGAGAAGACACAAAGCTGACTTCTAGTTACTATTGCCTATACAAATCCCCAGCAACCACTCCTTGCAGAGGTTATGACCTCACCAATCACAGTTAGGTCCTCCAGTTCTCTAAGCATATACTGATTACATCAAGGCAAAACAAAAATATTCTTGGGAAATGCTTCTGTGATCCTTGGTGAACATAAACAAAATTGTATTGTTTCTTCTTGGGATGGAAATTAAATACAATTCTAATTTCACTCTAAAATTAAACCCATGATCCAGGGAAAAAAGAAATTGAAAAAAAATCACCCCCCTTCCTGCCTCTGTGCTCATAGTGTAATCAAGCTGACAAATAATCTAATGCCATGATGCAAACTGTTATTGATGGCTTTGCAAAAACAAATATGGCAACTGTCATGAATTATTCATGGTCATTATTTTTTCCCCAGTGCTTGTTGTAAACCAAGTATAATAAACAGCATATATTAAATTTTCATACCTATATTCAGCATTGCTCATTGCCATTAATTTTTTATTTTTATTTTTTTGGTTCAGACTCATATTCCAGGTCTGAACAAACATTTCAGAATGAGTATTTATGTGTCCTTTGTCTTTTATCTTTCTTTTCTTTCATGTGGAGAGATAGTTGTTTTCAACAATTAACATCCTTCAACACAATTATGATCTTTTATCCTTTCTGTGGCTGTTTTACCAGTGAATAGGAAAGCAAAAGAACTGACAAGCAAAATGGAGTTTATCCAGTGCAGTGAAGTAGCCAAAATACAGTTTCTGTCAATAAAAGGTGAAGCCTAACTAGAACCAGGAAAGCCTGGAAAGTATTTTTTTTGAAGTAGCCACTGGGGTGCACCAGAGTCAGGAAATGCTCCTTTAGACATATTTAGTACATTCTTGAACATATACAAGAACAGTACAACCTGGTGACTGGCTTTTAGGTGTGGGCAGTGAACCACTTTAGCAACTGTGCAAATCGTCCAGGTATTTATCCAAAAATGGTGAACAAAAAGATGAAGGAAACAGAAACAGAGTGACCCACAGACATGTGATTAACAGGAGTGCTGTTTGCCAGAAGTGGATCTGAAAATCTGTCTGATTTCAAGACCGTGATGGGTTTGGCTTGACCCAACATGGCAATGACAGGCACTGGGGAGTTTAAGCCTGGGGACAAATTCAGCACTCACCCTTCACATTTAAGGAGAATTTGGTCTGGGCTGGACCCCAGTTGCCAGCTTTGAGAGCTGGAATTCTGTCTGTGTTTTGCTCACCAGTCATCCAGTCAGTGAATTAAGAGAGAAAGTTGTGTAAAACAGAAGACCTGTTTCTCATGGCTTGAAATAGTCAGTGGGCTGGTGTTACTGAATGCAGAACACGTGACAGCAATATGGACCATGCAATTTAGAAGACATTCACTAATGCAGACCTTCTCCCTATTACACATACCAGAAGCTATAGCAGCATGGAATGGTTTGAATTAAGCTCACAAGTCCTGCCAAATTACAACAGGGCTGTGTTCATTATGCCTGTACAGAAAAATGATGCAGTCTGGAAGCATCCAGGGAGGGCTGTGTGGAATCGGTGACTAACAAGCAGCAAACAGCTGAGAGATCTCAGATGCAAAGCTTTGGTCTCACATCTCTAGATTAGTTTCCTATGGCCCACTGTAAGAACTGGAGCTGTGCGCATGTTGCAGAGCCAAGCTAGGCTCAGTCATGCCTCTCAGCTTCCAAAATGGACAAAGAATGTTACCTAGGCCCCATCTGTAGCCCCAAGATCAAATGCAAATCTGTTATTCGAAGAGAAGGGAAATGAAGATGACTGTTTAGGAGTAAAGCTAGTGAAATTATGTTTTTAATATAAACATTGTCCCTTGTTCACAAGATATTTATGTTCTTACCTTCTTTACCAAAAATATTGGTAATATTTGTTGAATTCTGAAGCTGAAGTTAGAGAATTCAGTTGTTCATTTAAAGCATCTCTTATAGTATTGTATGAGCAAAAGCTACTGATACTGCTCTTTGTCTAGACATTCCTTCAAAGACATAGAGGAAGTGACAAATACTAAATACAGATGGGAAAGCAATTTGGACAGACCTTTATTTCATGAGAAAAGTGGGAAAATTTTGCTCAACTTTTTCATGCCAATTTATTTCCGCAAATAAATGAACGTTGTCAGAATTTTATAGCTCTTGAGCTTTCTGTGAGGGAGAAAACCCCATGAAGAGATTTCCTTTAGCCGCAGTAAAATGTCCACCAAAGAAAAACAAATGAGAACAAGACAGTGTGTGGTGCAACCACAAATTAAAATAACCATTATCCCATGCAGCGAAACTTCTTACTGAACTGCTAGCCCTGAAGATTCTTTATCATTAATATTTCTGCCAGCTCAGCAGAAAACACCTACACAACCTGCAGGAGAAATGAAGGCTCTCAATCAGTCTTGCAGCAGAAATGGAGAACTTCAGATACCAGAGTAAGCAGATGCTACCCAAAGGCTGCACAGAGTTCCTTATCTGCTCAGATAGGTAATTGGCAGCTGCATCTGTGTTACACATGCTGCTGCAGCATCCAGCAGTGACACACCATGACTGTGCAAGGTGTTGTAACAACAGCTGCTTGAATTATTTGTTGCCACTGGCACTTACTGGAAAGATCCGATGGTTTGTTGAATATTCATGGTAAATTAATCAGAATATTTCAGTCTAAGTTACTGCCATTTGCTGGCAGTGTATTGCTCTGCTCTGAGTAGTTTCTGGAGTCACCATCAATGCTTGGTAAGATTCTCTTCCTGAGCACAGTCAGGTTTGTCTGGGAAAATTATGTTCTGCTGATGGCTGTAGTCAAGGAGCTCCAGTATAAGGTCAGAAGTCTGTTACTTCCCCAGAGAAGCAAGAGAACACTTCCTTCTCTTACTGAGCCTCTGGTATAGTCATAGAATGGTTTGGGCTGGAAGGGACCTCAAAGACCAGCTAGGTCCAAGCCCCCTGCCATGGGCAGGGACACCTCCCACTAGATCAGCTTGCTCAAAGCCTCTTCCAGCCTGGCCTTGGGCACTTCCACAGATGGGGCATCAGGCAGCACTTCTGTGCTGGGCAGATGTGGAGACAGATATCATTCCCCCCTTGTTTTGTAAGGAATTTCGTTATATTTTCATCACTGGCACCATTCTGTTTTAGGAGAAAATTTGGCAAAACGTGTTGCAATAAAGATGTTTATCCATCTAAGAGTTTGAATGTCTCAGAGCAATGGTATTTTCTTTAACACTGTGCAATCTGCATGAGAAAATAAGTTCTCTGGAATGCTGTGCAGGGATCATATAGTGTTAATTTCAGTGCTAAATCTTTTTGTTTGTTTTGTGCAGTGATAACTCACAATATACATCTGAAGACTTTGTATGTCCAGTGAACCAAGAGAATAGGGTAGAAGACGAGCTTATTAAGATTACCAGACAAGAAGAGCACCCTAGTGTTTCTTCTCCCCTTTCTGCCTTGTCAGTCTGGCCAAAAATGACTCCTTCAAAAAGCAGGTGCAGGTTTTAAAAAGCTGCTGCGGCCATTGAAATGCTGATACAGCTTAAAAAGCAGGTACCAGAGGGAAAGACAGCAACCAGAAGAGGGAAGTATGTGCTCTGTCTTCTCCCTGGCTTTTCTAGCCTGCTGAAGAAGGGAGAGGTAGCAATGGGAGATAGTTGGTGGCTTGAGAACTGTGAAGGCTGGATGAGGCTGCTTTCTTGAGGAATCCTCCTTACATCCTTCTTCCCCAAGAGGCTTGTCTCCGGGAGATCTTGTAGTCAAATCCTGAGCGAGGGAAGAGCATAGCAGAGAAGTTATTTACATGCTTGGATGAAAACAGCCTCCAGTTCTGACAACACCTCCTGCTGCAACCTTGTCTCTTCCCGGTAGTCAAAAAACACTGTTTATGGAGAATGATGTATGATGGATTTCATTTGTATATTGCCAAGGAAAAGTTAGCCAGCAGACAATTATGTTACCGATGAAATGAAATGAAAAAGAATAGCCAGGCTGCAGAGCTAAGCCCTTTCAGCCCTTTTCTGTCTTCTGTCCCTGCTTATTACCTGGTTTCTTTCACATCTTAATGGCTCACTTTGCATATCCGTGAAAGAGTTAGTGCTTCTCAAAACAGCATGGGTGGAAGAGACTTGCTTAATATTGTCAAGTTGCTTTTGAGTCAACAGTCATACTCTGCCTCCCCTGTGCTGAAAATTAATCTTGAAATCCCATTTGGCTTTGTTTTTTTCTTTGTTGCTACAGATACAAAGGTTTTAAAGGCAACTGCTCCATTTCCTTCATTGAGCAGTTCAGAGCCCTCCACCAGTGCAATAAGTACTGTGAGATGCTGGGGCTGAAATCTCTCCGATCCACTCATCAAAAACAGAGGAAACCAACATCCACGAAAAGCAAAACTCTACCAAACTCACCGACTATTAAGAAAACAGTGCCCAAGAAAGCAAGAGAACCTAGAGACTTCATATCTTCGGAGCATTAAGTAGCACTCTCCTATCTTGTGAAAACTTCTCTTGAGGATATGTAATAGTGATAGGCACCAAGGCTCTGATGGGAGGATAATGTTGGTCTTTTACTAATGATGTTATTTTGAAGTCATCCTGATGCTGATGCCAGCAGCAAAAAAAAAGGAGCTGATTCTATGGTGTAGATACCTGAGATTTAACAATAGGGCAAGGTTTTGAAGATAAATTAAGCCATCTGCCTGGATTGTCTTACAACCCTTCTATGTATTGGTATCTGTATGCTTTGAGTCGTGGCCTCTGAGTGCACCATGGGTTGCTGGAGAACATCTTCCTTTCCGTGTGTCTGTGCCTGTGAGACTGTGGGTTCAGCTGCAGTGTAAACATCAAAATATTTAAGATGCCACTTAGTAAAAGTTTTGCACAGTATTGTTGTTCAGGCTGCTCTGGAAAAGTTGTTTTCTCTCCCAGATCTTTGCATGTTGTTAGTACTGCTATATTCCTATTCTGATAGTATTTTTCCCTACTTACATGTCTTTCAATACAAGACAGAGTTATTCTCGATTGGACATTTGTGCCTTCTGTCCTACATAAAGATGGCTAGGATCTTTAAGTTTCTCACAAAGTGATGTCATCATCTTAAAAATGGACAATGTGTGATTCTCCACAGAATTCCTTGCTTCCCAGGAAAACTTCTTTGGCTCTACAGTTAACCCTGTGGCACAGTCCTTTTGCACTTGCACCAAACCTATTGTAAGATAGAGGTTTGAAGTCTGCATGTTGCCAAACAGCTAGCATCTGAAATAAGCCATTACAGATGGAGAGTATTTCAATACCTTGAAACATTTTCAACTCAAGTAACACAAGGGCTTTTATGTGAGAGTTGTTTCTGAAGGAACGTGAAAGGTACTTTGAGCCAGCGTGTGACTACTAAGGAGTCACAATATATCCAGAATCAGTACAGCTATCAGAATGTATCAGAAATCAGTACAGCTGTATTACAGAGCTAAACCTTATGCAGCTGAACAGGATTTGTGTAGTATCACAGCTAGTGCTGCTGCACTGTGTTCCCAGAACCTAGGGCACTGCTGGGTGTGACACTACAAAAATGGTTTTGGAGGAGTTACCTTGGCTCTAGCATGATTGATGCTGGACCAGGGTTAACAAAGTCTTTGTGTTCATTGGGTGTTTACATGTTCTCACTTGTGTTCTTGGCCTTACCTCTCAGCTTTAGCTGTCCCTCAATAAAGGTAATAAAGTCTCCTTCATATGGTACTGACCTAGCTCGGGTCTGAACCCCCACCTTCCTTTTCTACCTTTGAAGCACCTTGCTCCTCAAGCTTCATGTTTTCTGTGCTCCTCTGTCCACCATCTCACTCCCGCTTCTCCTTCATATTTTCTATCATTGACTTTGCTCCTTCCCTTTCCTTGTCACTGTGCCTGATGTTTATTTTGGATTGGAAGGGGGAAAAAAAGCAACTCATCATAAATGGCTGTCAGCCCATCTGGGGTGATCTGTGCTTCTGGAATGCAGGATCTGGGGAACTGCAAGCTGAAACGACATTGGTAAGATCCAGAAGGCAAAAGGTGACAATGTCTGCACTGTGTTTGTCTCTAGCCTTGGCACTCTGTAGAACCTGTACCATCAGGACTATTCCTGAACAGAAGAGCTGTTTGTGCAGTCATTCCTGCGTATGGCTAATAATAAAGTATACTCCATGCACACAGGTGTGGGCCATCCCTGGTTTAAACTTCTCATTTTTGCCTAGTGTGTAACCACTTTGAAGCTACTAAACAACAGGCTTTGTATCTAGCTGTGTATTTTTTACTGCCTCAGAAACTCAGTTTTGAAGATGGGACTGAACTGCTGACAAGATCACCCTAGTTAAACTAGGCTACAAAGGAAATTTTTACACATTTTTATACATTCTGGAGTATATATTTTTATTTAAAAAAGTAAATGTTAACATCCTTGAAATAACTAGAAATGTACTGGACAAAACACTAAATAATACTCTGTGTGGAAGAGCTCAGGAGATAATGTCCATCTCTTAGTTCCTATGATTTAAATCACAAGAACTTTGACTTTTAAATTACCCTCACTTCTTCATTTTTTTCTTACAGTCTTCCTTCTCCCTGTAGGCAGTAAGCTTTGTACATGTATTCTTCCCTACGCAAGAGTGTTCCTGCACTGGTTAGTCTGGAGGCCACAGGATTATTCTCCATTCAGATAACTTTTATTGCTCTATCAGGTACCTGTGCAGAGGGGCAGTGCAGGTTTCCAGAACAGATGAAAACAAAAGAAAAAGGAGACTACAAAGAGCAGTTAGGATATATATAAGGTGTAGGAAAACTGCTCTGTGTTTCTCTGTGAAGTCCAGAGGTTGTTATTATCATTTGAGGTGCTGATAATTCTTTTTACAAAAGTCTGGACTAGAACTGAATTTTACTATACAATATTGTAGTTATTCTGTTAGTTTTCAGCAGTATGCATTGCTAATGACTATTGCACAGCAATAACTCCTGGAAGAAAACAAGGTTTAGAGAATAAAATTAAGTAACCTACTGAGCATATTCTGTTGGGAAAAACTGTAATACAATTGGTTGCAAATGGAAATGCTGTATAATATATGAAGGATAAATATATCTTCCAACAGCACGCTACACATCACTTAAATACAGCCATAGGAAGCTTCCTATTCATTACGTATGCCTGGTTACTTAACAATCGAAATTTGGCACATGCTGATGAACCATGAACATGCTGAATTATGGTTACCACTCTTTGCAAATCAGAAAACAATATCCTGTGAACCTAAATCTTGGATTATTTAATGGAATTTAGGCCCCCTGTTACATTGTTTGTTCCTGGCTTTCATTAATCCCTTTGAAAGTTCCCACAGTTGATGCTTATTCTTCACAAAAGCTTTCAGGAGAACTTCTATGTGGAAATTATGTCCCTTCCCGAAACAGCAGGTTCAGAACATAAAATGGTGGACTTGAGCGTAGTGCTGAAATTGTATATACAGTTGTGATATGGAAGGGAACAAAGCTGCAAGCATTTGAAACGTGAATAATTGTTGTTTCCAGTTGGGTGTAATAGCTTTTTATCAACATTTTGAAAGGTGTTCTGTTTGAAAAGTGTTACAAGCATCTCAGTCAATTAATGTTCGAAACCTGTATGTTTGAATGGCGTGCCAAAATAAGAGCCAGGGTTTGACTACATCAGGTAACTGGCTTCAGTACTCTATTGTCATGGTCAATCCAACAGGCAAATGAAAATCCCAAGCCAGCCTTGTTTTTCAGAGGTAGAGTAATTACAGCTGCATCGACTGCAATGAAATCCACTTTGCCAACACTGGTGTTATGATCCCTTCAGAATTCTATGATTCTGTGATTCAGATGATTCTTGTGTGCTTTACAATGCGAATCTGGAAATGCACACTTATGTATTTCCCACGTATTATTGTGGGGTTACTTGTAAAAGGAGTCATCCTAACATGTAGAAAGCTTATTTATTCCACAGCACAGTAGGAGAATGTATTGCTACGGTTCATATACTTTTCTGAATTGATGTCTGATCTACCAGTAGCTATTTAGTGTGATAATGGCGTTTGATAGATTGGACACAAACACCATTGTCACACTCCACAGCTCTCCTAGTAGACTGTTAGTCCATGGAAGAAGTAATATGTACACATGCAGACTTCAGCATGGAGACTTCAAAGATCTGCAAAACACAGAGAAAAGACCATCAGTATGCATACTTAATGTGGCACATCAGGGTTCTCACCAAGGAAGTGGGAGATGATAGGATACAGCATTTTTGTCTCAGCTAGCTGTAGACATCTGAAAGCTAAGTAGCTTTAAATGTGCCTTTATAGGCAAAGGAAACTGACAGGCACTTTTAGAAAGTCATCAGTGCTGTCCTAAGAGACAAATTTATGGAGAGAGGGATGAAGCATTCTCTGCAGGGTCTTGCACCTTTCTCTTATTGATGGAGATAACTCAGAATAAGTGCTTGACTTCTATAGATGTACGTTAGATCAGAGTCATGATGCTAAAGACTATATTTGTTTTCCATATACTTGTTTTTGATAGTGTTTTAGAACCAGCCTACTTAGACAGCAAGTTGGTCTTCTCTTCCAACTGTTTCATTCAGTGCAAGATCTTCTGTGACACTTCACATCCAACAGTGAATTAAGCGGTGTAACTAAGGTACACGATTATTGTTTCTTCTTCACGTTTTTTTTGTTTGTTGTTGTTTGACAAGACAGAGTACATTTCTGTTTAACCTGCAAATCGAGTAACTTTTCTGCACATCCTCAGCAAGTATTAAAAAAAATGAAACTAAAAGATTCTATTCATGAGGAGTGGTCTAAGAGCATACAAAAAGTTACTGGGTATCATCTTCTGCACGGTGATTTCTTAAACCATGGGTATTCAGTTGGATGTTATGATCACATCTGAATACTGCAAAGCAGCAGAGAAAATAGAGAAGGAGCCCAGAGAAGGGAGGACATTAGAATTAGAAACCATTAGGTATCCTGTGCAGATAGAAGGTAAAAAAGTGTGTGAAAGTGCAAGCCAGCTAGTGAACGTTCATTATTAGCAATAACAAAATAAATTACTAATTGATAACACTAATGAAGCCTACTAACTTCAAGAAAAAGGAGAACTATGGAATGTAAGTCCTATACTCCCCTAGAATTGGATTAAAAAAAAAACTCTTTCAGGGAGAGCAGAGTACATTAAATATTAATTTTCAGTTTTTCAAGAATTTGGTAAGATTTTATATGTGCTTAGTTCAGCAATGGTTTCTTGTGGCTACTGAAGGCTTGAACTTTTTAACTCAGAAAAAATGCTGTATGGACTGGCTGGAAGCACCCTTCTGATGTGTTCCTGAGAGGGGAAGGAGTTGTCTTTTTGTGTCGGGAGAACAGAACATATTAGTATAATACTTTTAAAACATCCATCTAATTTTTTATGCTTAGTAAATGAATTCACATTTTTATGTATTTGGGATCATTTTCTGCCAATATATAAGAAAGCTACACCTTCTTATAGTCTTCTGGATCCGATAGCATTTTAGCAATAGAAAACGTTAAGCAAGTTAAATCATTCAATGGGTAGACTTCTCAGATCCTCAAAACTCCTCCCATGGGTTTAGCCTTCCTGTCAGTCTCGGTTTTTTAATGTTTCCTAATTCACTCCCCTGATGATGTGTCATTCTCACACAGTAACAGCCTTAGCACCTGTGCTTTATTCCCAGTCTGCTGTCAGCACTCCCATCGTACATTCCAGCTGAGAAACAAAAGGGAGAGGCATAAATCTCTTATCATCAGCTGTTTGTAAAATATGTTTGACAGAACTGAGGCATATCAGCTGAACGTGGTACAGCTATGGAGGGAAATCATAGTTCCGTACTTGTTCAGACCAAGTGGTCATTACTTTAAGTATCAGCTTTAAGGAGAGGCATTCCCTAGCTCAAATCAGGGCATGCTGCAGTTTGTGAGAAGCAGAGGTCTGTGTGCCCCAAAATAAGAGCCTGTGTATGGGCGACTGCCACTAGGTCAACTGAAGCATTGGAGGTAGAGGGGAGTAGGACATGGCTCTCTGCAGGAAAAGCTCCCGCACAGAAATGTGCTCTCCAGGTGACACACGGATTGAGGGGCACTACAAAAATAGCAGCCCTGGCTTGAGAAAGTGGAATGAACTGCAACAGAAAATGTTTAAGGATAAGGACCTAGGGCTTCCAAATATTGATTTTTATACGTAGATCATCAGGTAGGGAAATCCAGCTCACTGTAGTCCACAGCAATCAAAAGTTACAGTGTCAGCAGAGGGGAGACACTAACTCACACACTAGCTGGCTGCCTACATATATTGAATAAAACTGAACCACCAGCATACTTTGCACAGTGTAACAAAAGTATTTTTTGCAATCCTTACCTTTTGATGCAACTTTATCTCTTTTTTGGAAACTTCTTTGTAAATGTCATGTAGTTCAACTTGTGTTGATCGGTTGGTGCAGACTCATTGGAGCTCTGAACCAGTAAAACTACCGATTTACAAGTACGTGTAATCAAACCTCAGAGTAAGTGTGACTTGGCAGCATGAGCTGAGTTCTGAGTGGCCCTTGGCTGGTAAATAGCAGAGAAATGAACTGCCACTAGCTGCTTACCTTGTCAGATTGTTTTGTGTTTTGAACATGATTATTACAAATGCTCCATCATTCCCACCTTTGTCAAAGAAGCAAGCCTATAAATGCTTGGGCAGGGCCAAAACTTTTCCAAATATTTTTTATCTTTGATTGACTTTGTGTTTTGAGTCTGCATGTGCTGTGGGGAAATGCATATGCAGAGTGGTTGGACAGATTTGCAGATCCACAGACAGGTCAGGCCACTGTGAAATCACGGCTATGAAGGAGTCACCTCCAAAAGAAGGAAAGGATATGCAGCAGATCCTGTGCATCAAAATGGCACTGAGTTTTTTGAATTAATGACGGGACACACAGTCGCACCCAGAACACATTATGTCTAGTCAGGATGTGGCTTGCTGAGGTCCAGAGACTATTTTTAATAAATGTGTCTATGCTTTAGCTGGTGATAATTAGAAATTAATGCCAAATAGACACACATACTTTACATTGTTTTCTAACTCATACTATAACCATATAAGTGGTTTCCCCCTTTCCCCATGCACATTTTACTTGGCATTATATCTGCATCAGAGAAGAAAGGTTACACAAGATCCTACTCTAAGTTCGCTAAGGTAAAGTTGGACAGTCACTGACATATACAGTGCCAAGAGCAGCAGCAGGGAACTGGCAGATGAGCCTTTAGGCTTTCTTGTGAAATGTTTATGTCAGTAGATAGCCAGATAACTACAAGCAGGCAGTTTTATAGTTCCACAACTACATGGAAGCTGCCAGCAATTCAACAGGAGTATTTCCATGGACAAAAGGTAATGAAAGAAAGAAATGGCCACCAGCTAAAAGTACTGCAACTCAGAACAACAGATTAGCACAGGGAGAAAGCAAAAAATAATCAGCACAGAAAAAGAAAAACCTACTTTTTGCTTTTCTTCTGCTAGATGTTCATATAAAGAATACTACTAGAATATTCCAGTTGAGAAGATCATTGTGAAGAACAAAAGAATTTTTAAAGAAGTATCTGAATATGGGTCACAAAAATTGTCCTTTTTATATATTCAGACTTGGAAGCATTCCTGTAACCCTGGTGAAGCCTAGGCGTGCTTACTACCAACTTAATTTTTTTCCTAAAGCTACCTAATCTCTTTAATAGAAAGTGCAGGCTGAGATCACCATGTACAAGACATTAAATCCTGTTAAATTACACAAGCCACAGGCATTTGCAGACATCTTGATATGCTGAAGTGTTTATTATTCAAAACTCATTTACACTATTTAATTTTTGTTAGTACATGTTAGCATTTCATTTTCTTTACATGAAGCAAGCACAGGAAAGCACTTACCATCTCACACGACTAGCAAACGATCCCATGGTGTGTCGTTAGGATGTGTCAGAACTGAGATTCTGTTGTATGACATTTTGATGACTATCACTGTATTCTGATCATTGCAGATCTTGGTTTTCTTTTACGAGTCACAGCAGTGGTCAGCTGTTGAAAGCCTCTGTTTCCAGTGGACACCTTTGCCTTGCCCTTTATGGGATCCTGAGGTTTTAAAGTAAACAATTCATTCTCTTTCTGATAAGACATATTAAAATATTGATCTGGGGGTGGGAGATGGCCCTCACTGCACAGAGCCAGAGTCATCTTCAGTCAAACAGATTGAAGAACAGGGGAAAAAAATCCTTGAAAGCTCCATTTTCTCTCCCTTTAGAGATGGCATATGTGGGCAGGGAAAAATGAAAAATACTTTTTTTTTTTTTCAGCTGCTTGTTCTCCTTAACCCCAGGATGAAGTGTTTACTAGGTCTTCATATTAATTACTTACTTGTAGCAAGAGTGAATTCATCAGTCTAATCTTAATGTTCACTACCGGACTTTACCAATCTTTTTATTTTGATTTACTGACTTTTTGTGCAGGAATTTTCATAACTCTGCAAGAGTCCATTGCATTTGTAATTAGTTTCATTTTCCAACTCACCTATGAGATTGAGGAAAAGTCTGACTTCAGTTAAACCTATCTGAACACTAATGACAAAAATGCTGCCTAATCACAGTGTAGTTCCAGTCTCAGATACACTAATAATATAATAATGGCTGCAGACATGAATAAAAGAGAAAGGTGCGTAACTGTGCTTTTTGTGCAATAAAGAAGCTATATTTAGAGCAGTCAAGAATAGTTTTTTTGCCTTATGAAAAAACTGCAGCATCATTATTAGGGATATAATGACATATTTTTCTCAACTTAGTTGTAAAAGCAATGTCACTGTACCATTTCCAGTTTTGTTAAAGTTTTTAATTAACACAAAGTACAAATGATTAGTGCTAACAGGTGACATGTAGTAGGGAAGTGGAGAATGAAATGAGACAGAAAAAGAAAAAAGCACATGCCTGAGTGTTGACTTTAATACTCTGCTCTATATGATAGAGTATTGAAGAAAGTTATTGAAATTAAGAATTTTGTAAGAACACAATCCTAGTCACTTACTCGTAGGTTAGAAGCACCTGTAATCTGTGCTGTCTAACTTCAGGTGTTCTATGAGAAAGGAAACCATGGCTACCTGCCAAGCTCAGCTGGCTGTGCAGCTACTTGCATGTACTGATACCATCTCATTTTCTATCCTTAAAAAGACATGAACTTGAGACAACTGGGAAAATTCTGGAGTGTATCACAGTCATCTGATCGCTTAACATCAACCAAAACAGGATATATTAAAGTCTTTAGAAGCATTCCCACTAACTTCCAAAAGATCAGGATATGATCTACAGCATTTGTATGTATGTATATTCTTTGTGTATGCAGACATCTTGTGCAGTGAGACCTGACTGTGACATGATTATTACTACTAACAGACTTGCGTTAAAATTAGGCAAAATATACCCCCATTTACAACTGTTGTCTTTGTTTAGGGTCACAGTGATTAGAGCTTTTTGATGGTGCTCTCAGCCTTTGTGTTACCTTCTGCCTTTGGTCTGTTCAGGAAACCTGCTGACGCAGGGACTGCTTTTCATTTGGTACTGATAATGCTTGTTTTCAGTGAGAAGTGTCTTAACCAGGATATGTACATGCACACAGCATAAAGAAGATGGAATTAATAGTAGAAGCAGCAGCATTAGTAGTAGGTCATAGTCTGCTAATAGCACTAGAACAAGTCTAGGGAGAAAAATGTACTGAAAAATTACCTGTACAATTATACCAGAGTTCTGGGTGCAAACAACACATGCTGCTCTGAAAATATGAAGATTCACCTACAGCAGGTATCTGGCAATAAACTTATAAATAAAAAGAGGACAAAACATCTCAAAAATAAAACAAAATGTCTTCCTGTTCTCCAAAAATAATAGAGAAAAACTAAAATGTGCTACATTTCTGTGCACAAAAGAAACACCACTTACCCAGTGTTTTGGGGAATGTGTTTCTGTATAAAAGCTCTTTTATTCAAAATGGCAATCTGCAATTGTAAATGAAGTACACATGAAGCCACATATGAGAGTCTGAAACAGCATTGCAACATTCATTACTTTTGCAGACTGGTTTTGGTCCAATTCTGTGAAATTAAATGCCAAATTATTTGGAAATTCTGGAGAATAAAAAAAAAAGAAAAAAGAAAAAAAAAGAACTGGTTTGTTTAAATGTCAGCACAGGTGACACAAGGACAAATAATGCAATACACACTGCACATTCATCCAAGAGCCAAATTCTTCTCTTGAAAAAATGTAGGTATGACCCCAAGCAAAATTATCTAACTTCGAAGTTCATCCTAACTTTGAAGTTGGCACTGCTTAGAGCACAGAAGTACTCCCTGTGACCTCCAAAGGTCCTTTCCAACCTGAAGAATTCTGTGATTGTCTGACTCCATTTTATGTGCTCTGCTCCTGTTTACTAAGGGGTCACTGTACAAACACTGAAATTTGGTCCATGGAAGAATTCTTTCCTATCATTTTTCTTATATGTAATATGGAGGATATGAAGTGTGAAATAGATATCTGAGGGATGAAGTGCTTTCCATGTGAAAAGAATGAAGGAACAACTGCAAAATTGTGGGAATGATAACTTACCACAGAAATAAAAACTGGATTTTCCATGTGGGGAATTTTTCACAATGGGATGAAGGAGATGGGCAACTGGACCCTCAGCTGAGATTCTGGTCTGAAAAATGTGATGCCTAAAGATGTAGAGATTTAAAGGGAAATTACTGAGGCACCAGTCCAAGGAGATTCCCATCCTGCAGTCCTGTGGAATAGATATTTAAACATTTTATTTTACTTTGCTTACTTAGATTACCAGCCTCAGAATTTAACAGTTATACTGATGGTGTATACTGAGAATTTGAGCTATACATTTATGGCTTTACTCTGCCTCTATCTTTAATGAGCATACAGTGAATGCCTTTAGAATTAAACTGAGCTGGAGTTGGCTGTTTTATCTATGGAAAATTTTACAATTCCCCAGCTGTGGGCATGGTTTAAAACTTTCAGACTAATCTTGGTCAAAGTTTTAGGCCACATCATTTTATGGAAAAAAATGACATGAAACTAATGCTGTATATGAATTTGTCCCTTTGCTATAACATACTAATTTCTGTAGAGCTATTCAGATTTTTGTCAGTTTAGTGTATGACCATTACATTTGTGAGAGGAAATTGCTACAGAAATTACTGGGCTAGAAGTGGGCAAAATTGGTATTTGTTTATCATTTTATTACAAATTCCTACAATATCCCAGAGGCAACAACCTTCATGAACATTAAAGGAAGCACATTTTCCTGGCAAAGGTAAGGCATATATAGCGCTAGGACAACTTAAATTACAGCAGTGAAAATGTTGTGACCCTTGTTAGTCAACTGCAAGGGGTTAAAGATTACCTATGCTGGTCATTCTGACTACTAGATAGGGAAAGATTAACTTAAAGCATTATAAAGTAGAGCAAAGGTATTTAACCTGGAAAACATGATCTCTCCTGATTACTTCTGGGGCTCAGTAAACGAAATTGATTTGAATTTCCCAATCATCAAACTCATTACATCAGTTCTAGATCATCCTGGCATTCCTCACGACAATTCACCATCTGACAGATCAGACACAAAGAATTCAGGTTGAGGATTATCTTCAGATTAAGTAAATTAGTACAAAGTCCAACTAACAATGTACCATCCATGAAATTTGTGTGTTCCCCCAGCAAAACAGCTGTAGATAGAATTTAAGTAATTTGTTGTAAGCAGATGGCTAACACAGAAAACCTGTGTTCATTTACCTAACCCTAGGAGCAACTCCTCACCCACCAAGAATACTGCTCCCTCAGAAAACGTTGTTACTTGCTTCTTAGCTTTAAGTCTTTTGCTGAGGTCAGTGATATTGCTTCCATTCATCTGAGAAATTAATTACCAATCAATTAATTACCATTCAGACAATCAGATACTATCAAAGACACAGAACTTAATTTTTCCTGCCAACCACTTCTGCAACCTATGCATTTCAGGCAAAGCATTAGCCCTATAAATCGTGAATCTCAGCAGATCAAATTATTTAGTAATGGACATTTACAAAGAATGTGAGATAAGTTTTTTGTAACCTATCTTTCTTCCTAGATGCTACCAGGAGGTCTGCAGACCTCCCCTCTACATACAGCCAGCTGCAAGTACTGAGTGGTAATGGCCCCAAAATTGCCCTGCCCCTGCCTTATACAAACTGGTACTCTGAATTTGGGTCAGTGAGTATCGGTTCACTGTGCTGCTGTATGATTTATTTTGGTCTGCCAGTCATTAAACACATAAAACTTAGTAGAACAAGTGTTTCTGTGATCAGAGAGATCTGTACCACCAATTCTCTCTTGCCCGCAATTTCAACTCTTTCCGTACTGCGGTACATACTGACATGTTCCACACATGGGGTCCAGAAAGTGTAATCTTTGATCAGTAAGCATGGGCTAATCATTTCAAGACTAGAGCTCTAAGTCATTTTGGAGTCTGAATCCCAGTAGTGTTATTGCCTTCAGAATTTGCCACAATAAGTCAAATCTTTGCTCGGTAGTGGCCAATGCCACCTACGTCAGAAAAGAGTAGAAAACAAAAGTTAGCGCTTGCTCCACAGAGGAAAAGGTCTTAACATCCTACTAACTTTTGCTCATGTGTGTTCAGTGTCGTTGTATCTGTGTGATACTTTTACACCCAGCAGAGGAATGATTCGGATTTTTACCTGCAGGCTTTACCCCCCACTCACACGCCTGAGAGGGAAAATAGCGTGGGCGCAACCCTCGCAGGCAGCGGAACCTTCCGGAAGGCGCCCTCCCGACACAGGGCCTGCGCTGGGGGCAGTTGGCGGCTGTGTTCTGCAGGGAGGAGATGCACGTTTTCTGCCTGTGTTTTCTGCTCCCTTCGGAGCCATCTCGCTGCAGCTGTCTTTGGCCTGCTTGGACCTGCTTGCAGAGGACACGGTGAGTGTTGGTGGCCTGCGAGGCAGCGCTCTGCAGCCCGGTGGGGCTGTGGCTTGGTGGCCCGGGCAGCTGAGCCCAGAACGTCCCTTTCTGGAGGGAACGGTCTGACCACCCACGGGAGGGAAAAGCACCCCGCAGGTGAATTCAGCTCCGGTTGTCTGCACCAGAGCAGATAATGAAAATGTTGTAGAGTAGGCTGGAAAGGGTGCCTGGCACTGACTGCTCGCTATAATCGGTTCTAATTAATCATTGTTTTAACTTTTCTGTGAGTGGTGAAGTTCATTCTGGATATGGTCACCATGTGCTTTGCCTCTGTCTCCCACTGTACTTCAGGTGAAGCATTTCAGCCAGTACAGCTCAGCATAGGCTTGGCCTGCTTTTTATTATTTTTGTCTTTTGATAAAAATTGCAGGCTCGGAAATTGGTTGAAAAATCATGACACTGTTTTCATAATTCTGTGTTGAAAATTTAACCCATCCTTTTGCTACCAGTTTGAACTTGTTCTGGCCACATGGTGACTGGAAAAAGAACTCTCTAGAATTGACCTATATAGCAGGAGTGCATTGAGCCAAGAAGTAGCCAAGTTAAGGGTACATAAATGCAGCTTAGCAGGGCTTTTTCCCCTCTTTGTTATTCCTCGACGTCTGTTATAATAAGCAAAAATAATGTGGCTGTAATATCAATGTTTTGGAGACAAAAAGCGGGGACAAAATCAAAAAATGTTAGTTGTTATATGACATTGCAGACATTTCACTTGCTAAATGTAATCTTTACATAGATCTCACGTTTAGTCTCCTCAGGTAGTAGTGTTCCTTAGTTGACTTACTCACTGTCCTATGCAGCATGAAGTTGAATTTCATGTGGCTATTCTAGTCCTGGATGCCATAGCTCTGCTGAACTGAGATACTTGTCACAAAACCTCGATTTCAAGGCCACAGAAAAACAATCTGCTGTTTCTTTTTCTAGTCTGTCTGAGTAGTCATGTTTCTGCCACAAAGGGTGTGTGTAAGGGAAGGGGATAAGCATCGAGCACAGCTGTCCCTCTTTGCTCAGATTAATGCAGGTGGCTAGAGTCAGGCATCATAATTTCTCTTCATGTGTTGCAAGACATTTCTACGGGGAAAAGAGAACAAGGACTAAAGCAGGAAGAAAAAGAAAGCAGCTGCTTCTATGAAAATAGATCTTTTTCAAAAAGAAAATTTTGATATATTGGTAATTGGAGAACGCTATGGAAGGGATATTGTTTCGGGAAGCAGAAGCTGGTTTTCAGTTTGAAGCCTGAATGGCATCCTTTAACCTGGCCAGTGAGATCTATGCAGTTTGCGTGTTGTGGATAACTTCGCACGTAGAAACAACAGGTGAGTAAAATATGGATTTTGAGCTCAAATTAAAATGAAGTATTGGCAATTCTGGGCAACATTGCATCGTTTAACAAAAATATTGGAAGAGGAATTGTTAATGTGCTGGCTGCTGAAGTAGGGTTTAGGAGTTATACTGTTGTTGAGACAAAGAGAAATGAGTAAGTCTTCAGTAAAAGTGTGTGCGATGGTGGCTTGGGGACTTTTCTAGAGACTTCTGAATCCTTGGATTCAAAGCAGATAGGTCATCAGAACGGTCTCTGTTAAATTGTAAAAGATTACCTATGCACTGGGTATTAAATTTACTGGATAGTAATGGCACTAGAATTATTGCAACTGCTCATCTGGACTGACTTGGCTGGAGTAAGTTTCCAATTGACAATTAAAGCAGGAAAGATTTGTTCTAAGATTCTAATCATCTTTGTAATATGGTCACTCTGAAGTGTTAATATTCAGCAATTAAAACTTCAGGAGTCATTGTTCCCTTGGCATATATCAGATTCTATGTTTTTTTTTTTTTTGTTTTTTTTTTTTAGAATGTGTATCCATAGATGGTAGAAAGACAGCTGGATTTGAAGTTAATCACCAGTAAACTTGTGTTTCCCCCCTCCCCTCTCAATCTCTATGCCTGAGAATTGACTTAAAATTTCCAAGGGTGGATAAATAAGGTTTGTGGTTAATAGAATAAGAAGTGATCCTATGTTCAGATGGTCTGGGTAGGTGTGATAACCTGGGTCTATGCCACATGTGCAGTTTCTGTGTTGTGTATTGGAGAAAGGAGACTGTTCAGGACAGAGTAACACAAACTTTTTCACATTGGCTTCTGGAAATGCTCTGTATTTGCAGTCTTCTAACTGAGCAGCATGGCACAGAGTTCCCAAAAACACTTGTCTGAGGTGTAATTCCAAAATCAATGTTGATCAATGAGGCTTAGCTATTCATGTCCCAGCAATGTGTTGGGTAAAGTGCTTGACTTCCAAAAGTGAAGCTACGTAATTTCCAAAGACATATATGAATGAAATGCTGGAAAACTTACTGATATGTATGTAAGTATGCTGGTAACTGATCTATTCTGGGTTTAACAAGGGCAGATTCCACTGGTATCAGGTTCCCAAGAAATGATAACACTTTCCTACCCCATGGACCATGCTTAACCAATGTTCACCTCAGGGACTTGTTACCCTGCAACAGATGGTAGCACACATAAATGCTTCTTGGTATCTTACAGAAATCTGGTGTAGCATACCATAACTTTGGAGTCTAAGAAACCACCTTTTTAAAAATCGTTTTTTTAATATTGAATGTTAACAGGCATGCTTTTGATGGTGTTTGAGAACGTGCTATCCTGTACCTTGTCAGGAAATGTTTGCTATAAGAAAGGAAATGTGCAGTATTGTGGTCCTTCCTCATGTATATTCATATACTCTGTTGGCCTGCGTGCAAATGTAGGCTTGTTTTTGAAAGGAAGAACTCAGTGTAAAATGGGAAGAGTTTCTTACTGCCTCCTTGATCCTAGATAGGGTGGTAAATGGCTGAGTGTATGAGCTTTTAAAGACACCTGGCAGTTTTGGTGTTAATAGGACTTAAGTGCAAATAGTGGGAATTGGCTGCCTCTAACCGCATAGCAATTCAGATGTCCAGAACTTTAAATTTATTGCCATGGCCGCAGCAGTTTCTCAGGTTATACAGCGTTGTGCTCAGAATGCATTTGAAAGGCAAATTAATTTGAAACATCTTCCTTTTTTCTGTGCTTCTCTCCTTACTATCTCATTGCTTTGTTATTAGTGTTAGAAAAGGAAATGAATTTGACCAGCAAACTAGTTCCTAAAACACCAATGTGGAGGAGTGGGGAGGAAAATTGCAAGTTCAGTTTGCAACAGATGGCCATTTGAAATATTTATATCTTGAAACAAAAATATTTTTATTTGGAAGTGCAACTGAGATGTTTCAGTAATTTTTTTGGAAACAGGATTAGCCTGTAATAGTGCGTATAGGGACTATACTTCAGAGCCCCATAATGCAATATGACATTCGTCTTTTGGAGAATCACTGATAACTTCTTGTTGTTTCTCAGAAAACAAACAAATAAATAAATAAAAAAAAACACACATATCTAAGCTACAATTTTTTTAAAGTCATGCAAACTTACTGAAATATATGTTTAGTCTCAGAGGAGTTGTCTTGAGCTGAAGAAGTTTGAATTTTCTGGCCTTTATTTTTAAAAGCTTAAAAGTTTCTACTGGCAATAAAATAAAACATCACTTTCCACGTTTGTTGTTTTTCTGTTGTATTGGAAATCAATTCAACATGTTCAATTGCTGTTTTAGTAATATAAGTAGATTAAACTCTTTTCCTACGTAGAAGATAGGCTTGAGTTTATATAAAGAACAAGTAGAAAATAGTTATTTTCTTGTTGAAGTGAAGGTTCTTAAACTATGCAATTTGTAGTCATTTCAACACTTTACTTTCATGGCTTATTCAGGGATTCAGAAATTATATATTTTTAACCGGTAAGCAGAATATATTCTTAAATTTTTGTTTGCTGGATAAATTCTGTATGAAATGAAATTGGAACTCACCTGCTGTTCCTAGAATACTCTTCAAAACTTGTTTTTCTTCTGCGGAAATTTATTATGACTGGAAGAAAACAAAACAAGAAACCCACCACATATGCAAAGCTTAGTCTTTATCCCCAGTGGAGAGTGGGTTATTTTCTGCTGACTTTAGCTGATGTTTTTCCAGCTTACTTTCAAACAATATCCTACTGCAGCTATCTTTGAAACTGCATGCTGAGTATGGCAGTGTACAAAGGTGGCATTTGTATCCACTCTGCCAAAACAACAGGCTCTATGTGCTGCTCTGGGGTCAGAATAGACCCTTTCTGTGGAGTTTGTTAAAGATTACTCAGTCTGAAATGTATCAAGAGCAAGTCTTCTCTTTGATTTGATTGTTACTGTGGGTATTATTTCTCCAGGACTTGTCAGCTCTGGTCTTCTGTTTACGCTTGTGATAGGACTTAATTTTTCATGGTGGTATTTGGCAGTGTCTGTTTGCTAGAAAAATTATTGCAGCTTCAACACCTGTGAGTAGTTTCAATCACTAGATCACTAGTAGTGCTCTCTCCTGTTACAGCTGTTAGGCTGCTCAGTTTTGAGAGCACAGTGCTGTTCTTGGAGTGAAAGAGCTTGTAACTGCAGTGCTTTGACTCTCCTGGCAGCCTGATGGCATGCTAAATTGAGGTATGCTTTAATAAGACATGATCACTGATGCAGGGAGAACGTGTATTTTAACATTGTGAAATATGCCTTCTGGTGGGGAAAATGTGCATGCATTTCCAGTGTCACTGGTGATTTAAGCTACGATATTCTCATTGATAGCTTGTTTGAGCCATTTCACATACATGAACTTGAGAATGTTAAATATTAATCATTCTTATCAGCCCTCTGTAAGCAGTAAGTCAGAGCCCTGTTTTAACTTCAGGTAAATGAACAAACGAACTGGGGCGATTCGTGAAACTAAGTGATATATGTAGCAAGATTAAGTTTGTTTCACAACTCCTAAATGCTGGTGGAACATAAAGTTCCATTTTAATTTAGGATTGGTGAGTAACTCAGCCAGACACAAGTAAAAGGTCTGTGCACA